CAAATTAGGTGTTTGGGTAAGAAGGGATATATGCTCTAGAGAACTGATTTTTCACAAAAATGGTCTAGATGTCCTCTGAGCTTCTTAGCAAGCCTGAGTGCAAATCCTTGAATAGCTTATATGCCATGTTGTCACACAGATGTGGCCAGCTGGCTCTGGGGCTGGGGATCTTTAGGGTTTGTGGTTTTCTTTGGGAACCTCTTGAATCCTCCTTTCACACTACCAAGGTGCCCTTTAGAAAATCATTTCTCCATGGCACAAAATGCCCTGCCAAAAGATGAGTAATTTATTTCCTTGCAGTGTGTAATGTCTCAGCCAACATGATGTCGTTTCAGATGTTAGAGGTTTAAAGGTGGTACACCTCTTTACCTTGGCATTAATTCACTGTGACTATGTATCTTGTACATGTGATCATGGCACAGCCAACTGCCAGAAGGCTACTAACCCATAATTTGATTTAATTTGCTTAGTTTACCAGTAAGAATAAAAATAGTGATAATAATAATAATAATAATATTTCCCTAAATGACTTTTGATGAATGAGGGTGAGAATAAATTTCTATTTATATATTAAATATATATTTACTAACAGTTTTTTAAAATGGACTTAGACACTCACTTCCTAGAAACTTTGAAATAAAAAATGGAAAGGGCAGTAATTTATCTTATTTTTCTGTTTTTTGCTTTATCCCCTAATAATATACTTTTCTATTTTCATATATGCTATAATGTTAATATTACATTGTCAAATTCAGATTGATCTTGGGAAAGTCATCAACTCTTGTGAGCCTGTTTCTTCACCTATAAAATGAAGAAAATGCCCTCTTTCTTGGGTACCTAATTCTTCCTGTTGCAAGAATACACTGGATCACAGATGTTACGTGAACGCACTTTGTAAACCACAGTGCACTATACAAATATTAATTATTTCTGTTGCTCTGAGCATACTGTTACCAAACTACTTAATAGTAAACATTATCTCTGAGTAGACTGATAATACCCTTCTATGTGCAACTAAGCAACTTCTATTCGCAAAACCACATGCTACATCTTATTATGTTATCATCATATCTACATCCAGAAGATGGGCTAATTATGCCTGAGAATTATAATCAATATTGTTTCTCATGCCTGGAAAAGGAAAGCTGAAGACCAAGATCTGGTATGGCACTAGACTTTAGATTGTGATGAACCTGTCAGGAGTGTTAAACCTGTATTTTAGAGAAGCCTATCTAATTGATAGTACCAAATACTTTTGTACAATTAATGAAAAATATATACATTCAAAGACACTGTTTATCAAGTGTGTAACAAGCAGCTCTGCGCATGTTATCCATCTCATAGCAATAACCAATCCTACAAGTGCATCAATATTGCCAAGGGATAGAGATGCCCAAAGAGACTCCGGTCAAGATATTCTCAGCAACAAGGGAATTGCCTATTATTTCTTTAGAGTGAATTACATTACATTACATTTCTTGAATTACAGGCTATGTTCTCAGGCATGTGAAGGATGATATACTTTTGTCAAACATCTGTTCTTTTTTGAATAGCAATATGTATACCACATAATTTTCTCAAGTTGTATTCTTTAGAAAAAATTAAAATTTCTAATACAATAATCTGCCAGTTTCAACCTGGGGAGACAACAGAAGTGGCCAAAGCAGATAGCTATGTAATTCCACCATGTTGGGAGAAGATACATGTATTTTTTTTATCTTGGAAGAAAAAAACCAACAGAATGATAAATATACCACTTAATCAAGTGATACAGATAAAATAAAAAGAACAAAGCAATATACCATGGAAAATTAGAAAATAATCAATAAATATGAACCAAATTTTGAAGACACACAGAAGTGAAAAGATAAAGGAGAGGTAGTAAAAGCCTCTCCTGTGACATAGATGTGGCCTCACATTACTTTAGACCCAGCTCGGACACCTGTCTCTCCCACAGGCCTCATGTCTATAACACTACAGAATGACCTATGTCATTCAAAAGGAAGACACTTCTGATTTTTTAGATGTTCAACTACAAGATAAGCCTGAGAAGATTAAAATTTGCTTGGCATAGTTTTAGTTTTCAGAATATATTACATTCTAAATCTTCGGCCATTGCTAAGTTATAATGATAGGCTTCAATTAACTATAACATTTTATTAACAAGAAGACCACTCACACTAATCATTCTAGAAGAGAGTTTAATGACCAAACCAGTGATGAGTGTTTTGTAGTAGCATACTATATAAATTTCTTTTGATTCTGCTTGTGCATGTCCAGCTCCCCCATCCCCACCACAGTCTAAAATACCGTGCCACCGTATTGCAATAGCCTATTGTTATATGGACCATTGCAATAGCCTTCTATCTGCTCTTCCTACAGACACTATTAGGCCACTCTAATCTATTCACCACATTGCCTCCAGCTTCGCCTTTACAAAATGCACATCCAATTACAAAATGTCATTCCTCAGGCCTAGAACCTTTCAGAGACTTCCCATTGCTCTTACACAATTCAGAACACAAGGCCTTCTAGTCCAGTGCCTGACCCCATTTTGGGCCAGAACCACTACTCTTCACTCTCCTGCTTTTCCTCAGAGTTCAGGTTACATAAGCTTTTTTTAAATTCCTTGAGCATATGCTTTAATTATGAACTGTAGTAAATTTTTTGCATACGAAGTACCCTCTATCTGGAGTAGTCTTTTCCCCCACTCCTATTCCTACCTTTCACCTAATTAATTCCTACTGACCTTCAGATTTCAGTGCTGACATTATGTCTTCTGTCATGTGCTCTCAATACCACCAGGCACATTTTGCACAGTGAAATATTTGATTAATGTTGGTCTCTCCTACTAGAATATAAACTCCATGAGGCAAAGAGATTAAGTCAAGTTTTTTTTTTACTGGAATAAAGGATATTAGAAAGAAAAAAATGGGACATAACGTAGTTTGCCTAAGTACTATCTAAGTTCACTTGGCATTCACTGAACTTTCTTTAAACTGTCTAGATTCTACATGCATCCTTTAATTAAGGATATACCTACTTTTAACAAAAATCTCGCCTCTCATGGAAGGTTCAGAAAATGACTCAAATAAAAACCATTTATTTAGTGACTTTTCATAGTATCCTGAGAAGTTTTTGTACAAGCCTGGCCAGTAAGCAGTTGTTGGTGAACTTGTGTGCTCTGTATTACTGCCTTTTAATTTAAATTTCCTTTTCAGGAGGTGTATTTAATATCATTGGCTGTGCAGAAATCTGTTCTGAATTTATGTACTTTAAAACCAGTCTCAAAAGTCTGTGATTTATGAAGAATACGGACTTGATGATGGTTTACAACATTTTTCCCTCCTGCCCGGAGACCTATACTAGGAAAAATAAAACATCCCAATTCTCATTAATGGAAATAGGGCTGAACAGACAACTGTAGCTGTTGAAGGTTACTGAAGCTGCCAGGAAATTCTAAAAGCAAAAACAAGGTTGGGCTGGCTGATTCATGTGCCTTTCATGTACAATCCTGAAATATAAAACCATGGAATTTCTAATGCTAATGGACATTTTTGTCAATGTTTATCTAGGCACTTTTATGTTGTGCATTATAGAAGAGATTAAATAGAGGAATGTTCATTTTAAAAGCTAGATCCCAGTGAAGATGTATTCATATGCTACCTACAAGTTTCCAGCTTCTAGAGATGCACTCAAGGCTTATTATTCTATTAACTAATGATAATGAGTCCACATATTTCCTTTTATGGAAGACTGAACCTGAATAAAATTTGCTGAACAAATTAATGCATATTTATGCCAGAGGCATCTCAGATTGGATTTGGGCCATCCCCAAAGCCCCTCCCTTTCTTCATCCAGCAATCCATTAATTTATTTAACAAACAATTGTTGAACACCTATTATGTGACAGGTTTGTGTTTTTTTTGCAGGAGCTCATGAGCTAGTGAGAAGCCTAAGAGGATAAGCAAAGCACATATGTATGATACAAAGCAGTTGGCTCTCCTGCAGGTAAATCCAGACTTAGAACACACCTGTAGGCAGCAACTGCCTAGGCATCTCATTTGGTGAGCAGCACAAATCTGCTTCCCACAATACTTTCCACCCAGATTTATTCAGCTGTAGTCAGCTCTTCCTTCCCTACACACCTACAAGTACATGGCCAGCAGCTTCGGGTAAGCCAGTAATACTGCCCTACTAGAAAATACTCCAAACTTTGCCACCTCATTTTTTTGAGTGTGGGTGGTTCTGAACATTGAAGAGCTTTACCAATAACACAGGGCATATCCAATATCTTAAAGAATATCATTCAGTTTTCAAAACATTTATATTCACTTAAGCCTGAAAGTTAAATTCATCATATACTAAACCAGAGTATGTATTATGGAATCAGAAGCATGACAATTATGTATTATGGAATCAAGGAAGTCATGCATTTTTGTAAAAAGCAGGCCACTGGCAAACGTCTGTTAAATCATTGAACTATAATTGCCACATCTCATAAAAAAATAAGCATTTCTGAACTAGAGTGTTGGTATTTATTTTGAAATCCAAAGAGCCAAGGAACCAAGGTGAATTGCTCTGTGCCTGCACAGATTCTAAAAATTCTTCCAGTCAAGGAAGGTACACCCACATGGGAAGAGGTTCCATGAAGAGCTCCAACACTGAGCAACACATGAAGATCAAAGTTGTCTGTGTATCCCATTAGCCTTTTCATTGGACACCACACTGCCCACAGTCACTCATTTGACAATGTATATTTACGGAGCATCCACTCTGCCAGGCACTATTCTAGGTACTTGGGACACCTCACTTGAAACAAACTGACATCCTACCTCATCTTTCCATTTGAGACCCTTTTTCTCAGTACCCTGAAACTTTGCTCATTACTTGAAATAGTGATGTAGACACTCAGCATGGCACCTCTCCAACAACAAAGCTGCTTGCCAAAAATAGGAGAAAAATAGAAGGTGGAAATTGTTAGGCACCATTTATCTTACCTTGTAATGAATTGAAGATGGAGAAGAGGTACATGAATGGGACGTTTAAGGGTCCCCAGGCAAAGAAAGCAAAACCCCACGTCATGCCCAGCAGAAACGTCAGGCTGACCACACTGCGCAGGTTCCTTAAAACCTCTTCACGCAGAGTCCGGTTGCTTCTCTTGCCATTTCTCCCACAGATCTGCACCATTACCACGATGAACATGGCAACATTCAGGAAAAACATGACTCCAAAGTAGCCAGCACAGGTCACATAGAATACAACTGGGTCCTGGATCCAACAGCTTGAAGAAGAAGAAATGAGATAGAGAGATTTATGAGTGTGTCCTGTTTACCTAAGACTTCTGGCTCAGACTGGGCTATAGATTTCACAGCTGGGCCTTTCTCAAAGGCCTTCACAAAGCCACTTCATTTTCTTGGGCCTCAGTTTCTTCTTCGATGCTTACATAGTTTTTTTTGGTTTGTTTTGAATAGCCATCATTTTAATATCTAGTTATTCAAGTCAACAGTTAAGAAGAAAACAATGTGGCTTCTTGAAGTCTGACTTGATATGAAGAGACTCTTCTCTTGTCTGGGTCATGCTAAACCATGGTTAACCTCTTTTTCTCATATGTGCCTGAAATTCAGAGAATGGTGAATTTAAGTATTCATTTCCTCATTCGCCTTTGTTTCTAAGGGGTGCCTATGTGGACAGTGTTCTAACAAAATGAAATGGTAGCAAAGTCTGTTAGGGGAGTTTTGGGAGAGCTATTCTTGATGAATCTAACTGGTGAGGCCCTGATTCATACTTTCTGCTTCAAACATGAAAATAAGCTCTGCAGCTGTAGCAATCATCTTACATACAGGAGAGAAAGGCCAAGAAGGCCACAGAGTTGCTTGGCTCTGACATTTTCAGCCATAAAGCCAATACCAGTTGCCCATTTCCATGTTTCTTGTCACATGAGAAGAGAAATTTCCTACTTTCTTAAGACACACATAATTGTGGATTCCATTACTGTAGAGAAAATAATTCCTATTAAGATAATTGATCTAGTTGAAGCAAAACCTTATTGTCAGTCTTACAAAGTATATGTTACTTTCCATGCAGTTGAAAAGCTGACACTGATTATAACATCCTCATGAGATGAGGAAGATATCTTGATATTCAGAATGATACATAGAACAGAAAATAGATTAAAGTATTTAAAAACTGTACCATATGTAAAGTTCCATGAGTGAAGTTAATGAGTACTGTAATTTTCAGATGACCCAGTGACTAATTAATACTATGGAAGCTTCTTGGTACCTCAAAAATTTGATGAATTATTTAAGGCAATTACATTTACCTTAAAATTCTAGCATAAATGGTCACTATGGGCTATGCCTTCCACACTAGAACATGACTGCCACAAAGGCAAAAGCTCTCTTGAGTATCTTTGAATTCTAGAACCTAACATGATTTCTGACATATAGTAAATGATCAATAAATGACAATCGTTGATGGCATAGCAATGTGCTAAATATACTTTAAAGTCCTGTAACAGTTAATTAATGTGCTTTTAAATTTCCCTTATTTGGGACATATGCATTGACTTCTACTTTTAATATATCTTATTATAAAGATTCCCAGATGATACTGCTTACCCCTGGAGCCAATATTTCTTTAATATGGAAGCCCCCTTAGGATTCTGAAATTCCTCACCTGAATTCTTTATTTTCTGCTAGTTCCTATGGGGTCTTTTGAATGCTACTTTGGAAATACAAAAGAAGGAAAGACCAAGAGGGAATGGGACACAGACTGGATACTGATTGGACATAAAAGTTCTCCATCCACGAAATGTGCACAGAAATGGGTCGCATGGGTCTCCTCTCAGGAGTTAAGTTCTATTCATTTAGTAATTCATCCAATCAATGAATATTTATTAAATACCTACTATGGGCTAGATAAAATGTGGAAGAACTAACTGCCAAAAGTGAACAATACAAAAATTTTAGCCTCAATGATCTCATAGTCTGAAGGGAATTTTCCAAATTATGCACGAACTCAGTGATTTCTCCACTCCATTTCCACATAGCACTGATACTGGCAATGAATTGTTCACTGTCTGACACTGTGACTTATGTCTCTTAAAGATGTGTGTGTGTTTAAAGAGATGAGAGTATTATGGAATCTTTTCAATTTGAATGGGTCTTCTGAGCCTAGAAGACAGTTTCTCAGACTTCTGCCTTCCCCCAGATGACAGAGGACATTCCTAACATGGAAAAGCAGCTCAAACCGTTCAGCACATTCAACTGAATTCATAACCCAGACCTTAGCAAAGATGTGCAAAAGCATTTCACCCTTCCAGAGTAAAAGACTCCATACTGGCACGGAAACTTACAACAAATTTAGGAAACAAAGGATTAATACTCATCACAAACAAATTTCCAACAAGTTTTTATTACTTACAATTCATCACCTTGTTCTTTTCCATAACTCTCTTTCCCATAGACTTCACTTTGGTTTCTGCTTGCAAGAATTGCCGACACTGCTAAGGCGGGCAGCCCTGTTGCAAAGAGACCATGACATAAACCCATGTTCTGAAGCATCTGGAATGGCTTTGTGAGGCTGATAATAGCAAGCGAGAAGAAAGAAAGCAAGAAAACACTCCATATCACAGAACCAGATTTCTTAGAACTGGTAACTTGGTTAAAAACAATGGAATCCTCTCTTTAGTGGAGAACATCTAACTCTAATTGGCAACAATCAAAACCTATTCTTAAATGATAGGCATGTAAGTATTCTGTTTGCTTACTGGTACCCACAAGAGTACCAGGACCTTATTCACATGGATCCATGACCAGCAAATGTGCTTTCATTAATGACACCTGTCAGGCTGCCAGGATTCAGGCAGTGAGGTAACTACAGGTTATCTTGCCCCTTCCCAGATAAAAAAACATCTTTATAAAAAAAGCAGGGTGAAACAGTGGGACTGTCAAGTATTGACAGTCTTCTATTTTCTCTTAAGAGAATCAATAAAGCATATCCATGTATGTTTCAGTGGGGAAGGCTACACCACCCTTGTTCCCTGAAAGATGCTCTTCTCACCTCCTAAGATGGAACTGAACACCTTGGAAATGTCTCATACTTCTATATTGCCATCTGAGGAAGAGATATGTGAGCAAGCTCTAAAATGCCTGGTACAATAAGAAACCCAGATGGAAAAGGAGCCCATTTAGAAGATTCCAAACAGGTTAGTATAGCTGTCCATGTCTGGTTGAGTAACCATGTTAAGAAGTTCAAGGCAAGAATTCTGTCAGTATTTCGGTTGCACACACAAAAATAACTTTCTCTGTTTCCAAGCCATGGGCATGTGTTTAAGGGCTGAGTACAGCTGGGAGCATGAACTGGCTTTTATATTGTGAAACATAATGGAAATGCACCACTGTCTGCCAGCTGCTTCTTCAGACCTGGGGTGGCTGGTCTGGGCAGGAAATAAGTGTGTGGTGACTCAGAAGCTCGGGCTTTTTCCTTTACCCCCTGAATTCACTGAGGACTGTTGAACGGGTTTTAAAAATACCATTCTAAGGAAGCCCCTTCCTTAGATATGTATATCAAATCCACATCATTATCAATTCTGAAGCTTCTTTTAGCAGTACTGTACTTTTGATACAGGGTTTTCCTGTGGAAGGACCTTCCAATTTTCATGATAGTAAGACCAAAACCAAAAAATCTGAGGAGGCTTACCCCAGCCAATGATGCAGAATTTCAGTATATATCGGCGAATATAAGTGTTGAATACTTTAACCAGAGCAATGTACATGTGGATTGCTTCTAGCCCCATCCAGGTAAAGGTGGCAAGAAGGAAGAAATGTAACAGGGCTGCAACAGCGATGCAAAGTCCATTCACGTGAAACGAGGTGACCCAGCCGTCCAGGAGGAAGATGAGATTCAGGAATAGCAGCGCTGTGCTCAGGTTCATCAAGATTTTGGAGGGATAATCCCTTCGCAATTTTCTAAAACAAGAAAAAATATACAAGAACTAATATTGTTAACCTTTTAAGCACACGTAGTAAATTCCTGTCTCAGCTCTGCAATAGGTTAGGGTAGCATCATCTTTAGAACATATTTCCACTAGGAAAAAGGCTAAAGATATTTCTATTTGGCAAACTATAAAGACTTTTTAATATTAATTTTATTTCAAAGATGTTTATGATGTTTACAAAATTTCCAGCTGGTTTCAACAGTTTGATTTTTTTTAATCCAGGAAAAATTGTATGTAACAGTTATAAAAATGACACTTTTGTTAAAAAACAATTTCCCTACAATTTTTTGAAGTTTCTTGATTTTTTTTTTAATGAGGTGGGTTCCTTATTAAAAAAAAATTTTTCAGGACTATTTTTATAAGATTTGTGAGGCAGATGTTTTCATCTTTATCATAAAAAGCATTTTATACAGTATTTACTTACATGTTAATTATCTCTCAAAGGTTTAAATGCATTTTATCAATAGAACTACAATAATTATAAACTGAAATTCTAGAACTGGAAAATTCATGTTGCATGATGTATTTTATGAGAAGTCTGAACATTAAAACTGAACCACCCGACATGGTTCAAAAGTGTTTTTAAAAGTTGAGGCAATTTTCTTATTCGCACTTTGAGAGAGTTAGCACTAGGTTTGGCAGAAAAATACTTACTCAAAGGCAACATATGTCAGGAGAGTTGCTGCTGAAAAAATAGCAGATATTCCACACCCAACATAGGTGATGAAGGTGAGGACTTTGGTGTTTCTTGAATCTATCTGTGAGGCAGTGCCTTGAAGGTCCTACCCAAAATACAAGAAGCAGCTATAAGAATGAATCTCTCTTATCATGAGAACATGTTTTGTTTTATTAAAACGTTCATTGCCAGCACTTAGAATCTCAGCTCCCTCTTAGGAGTTAAAAACAGCAGCATTAATCAGTACTGAAGTTTTTATTTGTTGTACTCTTGTGAGTCACTCCATGAAACAAAAATGTAGCCTCATGGAGAAAGTTGCACTTTTTTTTTTTTTATCATTACCTTGTTTTCCAAGCTTTCTGCACACCAGCATAACTTGAGGAGCAAAGCCGCTGTGGCCCCTAACAGAAACCAGAGGGGAGATGGTTGCCTTGCATAACAAATGACTGGGCCAGTCCTAAATGCACAGAGCTAGGGGCATGAGTACAAATGGGGGACACCGAGGCCCCCATGGGCAAACCCTCATGCAGCCCTGAGTTCTTTGCTCAGGGGGGGCAGGGCTCAGCCAGCAGACAGCCAGAGACTGGTAGCTGTCTGGCTCTGAGCATAGTATTCAGTCTCTTAACTGTGGTCATTTCAAAGCTTGGTATGTATCATGTGGGATGGTCTTTGTTTTCTTTCATAAATGAGAAGCCAATAAGGTTTGGGGTCATAGCTTTTTGATCCCTATAGACCTGAAAGGGTACCATTTAAAGTGTGAGGTTGCTGTGGAAAGGAAAGAACTAAATACTTTGTAGCACATTAAAGTGAAGTATTAATTTCACTGCATGGAGGCAGATTTGCCAAGCCTGGGACTAACAGGAAAATATTAATTTTCTTCCATAAATGGGGAATTTCATTAGAGATAGATCCTGAGTTAAGACCCACCACTCAGTCCGTTGGAGGAGAAAGTCACTTCCATTATGTGGCTGTTCAAATATGGAGACTTCTTGGAGAAGGGACATATTTGAAATGGAGTACCTGGTTTAAACTTTTAGGTTTTAAATTATGAAAAAATGTTTGTAAGTTTTTCATTGTGTGTGTTGTCTTTAATTTTCACCAATGTCAATAATATCTGCTATTCACACGAAGGCCTCCAGTAAGTGGTGTTTGAATGTACATTTATGTGTGTAAATGACGACATGGGACTCAGTTCCAGGTTTGGCTGACACAGTAAGGAAGTGGTAACAGCACCTCTGTGACACCAAAAAATGCAGAAAGTGATTGAATTCAACAGATGCAAGGGCTTAGGGTCACAGGGGACTAATCCTATCCTCCTTTCCCAGGAATCCCTTAAAATGTTAGGAGGGCATGGGACTCCCATGGCACATGGAATGGGGTTCAATTCAGTGCCATTTGACTCCCAGATAGGCTACTTCACCCAACACTCTGTTTACTCTAGGTTTTCATGAAGCCAGAGAAATGGTCTTGAAAAATCTCCAAGTGACTTGTCATTACCTCTTGAAAAACCTGTAGGTCCCATCAAGTGAGGCTACAGACTCAAAAACCACAATTTAAAATGTAAATTAAATAAAATAATGCTGTTTACTACTACACATTTATATATAATTCTTATATTGTTTTGTACTTTCAGAGAATGAAGGATATGAAAGTGTTTATTCCTCTGAACAAGCCAACCTGAAAATGTACTAATGTTAAAAGTACGAAAATCAGTTTTACTACAAAGCAATGTAGCAGAGGACATCAGATTCCTCATTTTTAGATTAGAAGATATAATTATGGGTCTAGAGAACATTGTTTTAACTTCTCCCATGGTGAATGTGTCATGGAACAACGCAGACTTCGGGAACATCTTATACAAGTGAATCCAGAGTTTGTTAATCAGGAGAGATTCTTAACAAAGTCTTGATGGCCTGGAAAAACTGAAAGGATGTGGGCACATTGCCAGAAGGGATAAATTCTGGGAAGTTTCTCTTCCAGTGGTTATAATCCTACATAAGCAGCCAAGGTGGAAAATGGAAGGATCGCTCTAAAAAAATGGATCTATTCATAGAGCATTTTATCATTACCTAACCAAATGGCAACAGAATTTAATCAAATGGTAACAGAAAAAGAAATACATAATTACAGATTCAAAATAAAATTTAAAGAATATATGAAGAAACTATCCACTCAAAGTAATGGTGTTAACATAAATCATCTCCGAGTAGGAACTGTGTTATTTTTATCTATTTATCTAATACTAGACTTAAAGCACACACAATCATGCTTAAATACATACCCACAAGTATATATACACACACACACAGCTGAAATAGTTAAATGACTTAAGCTAAAGTTTGTATACCTGAGTGAGTGAGCTTGGAATACATTGTAAAACCTAGAGTAAATGAAGTGTTGGGAGAAGTAGCCTTTCTGTGAGTCATACGGCACTCAGGTAGTTCAGAAAATAAGTATTTTCTAAAAGAGTACCTGCCATTACTTCTGGAGAAAAGAGAACATGGAAGAAAACTGAGGATTTAAAAAAAAAAATCCTTAGAGAATACATGCTAGTTTAATTGTTTATTTTCATGCTCTGGCAGTTAAGAATGCTAGTTATATTTTGGGAAAGTTCAAAAGTTATTTTGTATGACCATCACTTTCTAAATGACTTGCTCTTATCCCTCAGCTCATTTATGAACTGGATTGTCAGGAAAATTACAACTGGCAGGGTGGCTGTGTGACAACAGCCATTTACATAGGCCAAGTAGATTGATGAGCCAAATACTATATCCCACCCACAGTTTTTCTCTCCTTCCACCCAGTCCCACAGGAAGCGGGTGTAAGATTTGAGGGAGAGACAAATATAACCTGATGTCTGTGATTCAAATTCAAAAAGCTTTATCGCCTCAGCACATGTTATTCCCATCTCCAATTAAAAAGCAAATGTAGTTTGATGCTCTTATGGAAACTATATAGCAACAATGCTCTGTTACAATCTGGAGGGCACACTGCACACCAGAAAAGTGTCTGCAGAAACCCAAATGTATCAGATACAAGGCAAAGGTGTAATTCTGTGAATGAATTCAAACAAGTTGCTGGATGTTGGGTGGCTCTTGGTAATTTGGTGGGATGAGAAAACATGACAGTGAGATCCAATTTGTTTAGAACTGTTGGAAAGGCTAGGCTGGCTAATGACATAAAAACAGCACCGTGGGAAAGGAGGAAGAGAGGAATGAACTCTCTTGCGTGCCTGAAGACCCCAGCTAGTCTATCCTTACAGGCTGCTGTCTCTAGGTGGGGGACTGCAGTTGCTCTGGGTCACAGCTCCATCACTTAGCACAGTGCCAGGTACAAAGTCACATTCAAACAGAGTGAGTGATGACATAATATGAGGAAGAAAACTTCTGTGACCAAACTTCTCCTGGTTCCCCTCCATGTCAGTAAAACTCATCATGTTCTAGCATTTTCTCTCTCCCTCTTAATTCAAGGATCTCATGGTGATTGTCTTGTTGCTAGCATTATTTATCATCACTGCCAATGCCACAGATAAAAAAGTAGGGCTCCTTTCTAGAGTACTTTCACATGTTTTTAATTTATGATCTGTGCTAATTATGTTCTCCATTAAGAATCAAGATTCAAGGTACAGATAAAAATTATCAGGAAATAACTCCCCAAACACATAATCTAAAAAGGCTGACCTACAAAAAGAAGTATGCTTTCCAAAATTATATCATTTCAAAATGATTAGAAATTCCTTCCCTACCATCAGAACTCCAAAGTGTGTGAGGTGGTCACATAGGCAGACCGTTTCGCCCGCATCTGATTCTCTGTGTGCCACACATCCTGACGTGTTCCAAAATCCAGAACCTTCTGTAAGGGAAAGTCAGCAGTGTGAAGGTAACGGCAGGTGAGTTCCTTCCCTGTGATGGGTGACATCTCTCCTTCAGGGAAACAGGCCTCCGTGTTTTTTGCCTTACAGTTTATCAGTCAGACAGATACTATTTTAAAAGCTACTGGCACTTAGAATAATTTACATTCCTGAAACCACAGAATGCTGGTCCTTCCTTGGTAGTTAGAGATTATTTAGTCAGTGGTTTTCACTGTGTTCTACTGAAGTACCTCAGGGGTTCTGCCAAAGTGTGATTTGATTTTAATTTTTAATATATGATAAACTTCCATATTACAAAATAAAAGAACATCCCTTTTCAGAAGACAAGAAAAGACTCTATAGCATCTTATTACGCTGATAGACAGTGACTGCAATGAGGGGGAGAAGGCTTGATAATATGGGTGAATGTTGAAACCACAATGTTGTTCATGTGAAACCTTCATAAGACCATATTCAATGATATCGTAATTAAAAATAAAAAGAATATCCCTTTTCAAATAAGTTACATACTAAGGAAGTCTCTGGAGATTAACACTTTTTTTCTTGGCTCAGTCTGTTTTTGTGAAGTCATGAGAACAAAGCTCTGCCTCTTGGAATATGTTTTTATGTACACAGCAGTCACGCATGCTTGTAATTTATTATAAATGCCTTTAATACATACTTATCTGACTTTAATGGTATGATACGGAATATGAGCAACTCATATATTTGAAGAATATTTTAAGACTGCAAGGTGGTATTGTTTTTAACTGTGTATTTAGTAAACCAGGATTTTTTCAAAATTGTACAACTAGAAACCAAACAAAAAACTTTCCAGCTGTGATAGAAGCAGCAAAAAAAGGGGGGTTTTGGATACTTTTAGACTACATTTCTACCAAGAAGCCACAATAATTGATTTGGCCACACCACACTAATTCCTCTGGGGAACCTGAAGGGATGGTTACCCTTGGTGGGCAGAGGTGGGAGGTTTCCTTGCTGCTTCTAGCTCTCAAAGAGATCCCCACACCTTAAACCGAGCTTTATCCCTTTATTTTGCCTTTCTCTCTTGACTGTCAAATGTCATTTTGGAGGAAGTTCATTCCTTCCAAGTCATATGTATTTATTATAACCATTCTTGTATTTACAGTCTTTTGGTTTTCCCATAATCTGAGGTGTGGAAGCTGAACTTTAAATTGTATGCCTTGTACATATCAAATCAGCTCATGAGTGCCCTAGAAGAATGAGATCAAGTGTTTTATCACATTCACCTACAAGTGGCAATCAAAATACATACTATATCTTATAAAAAAACTGAAATCAAAGAGGTTTGTTTGATTAAAAAGAAAAAAGTCAAGTCTGCCTATTTCTTCCTGTAATGAACAAAAAGTAACAGAAATTAGAATTCACTTCCCAAGCTACCGAAATTAAATTTTGCAGCTTAGCTGCCATCACACTTAGATTGTGACTCACTCTGGTTTGGAGTGGAATCAGAGGAAACGGGGGTGTCTAACAATGTTTAAAATTCAGTTGTTATTAAAACAGCCAATATTTTAAACTTACCGTTTTTGTTCAGATCCCAGAAGGCACAGATGGGATGAGGCACTGCCTATATTAACATAAGAATAAAGATGTGAAGTTGTGTTTAAAATAAATGAAAAGTCTTACGATTTGAATATGGGAAAAGAGTAAAAATGCTAAGGTTTTCTTATAGAAAGAGATCAGCATTAGTCAACATGACCCAAGAACGGCAGGCACGAGGGGGACCTCTAGTCAAAAAGACTTCAAGGGGAAATCAATGGTAAGCTCATGAGGAATCCTGTTACCCATTTACCTAAAAGTTCTTGTATAGTCCCATCATAAAATGCTATTCTTAACATTTAGCAAAGCTCTTTGCACAGTAATTTCACTTCATCTTAAAAATTCTCCTTTATGTCTACGTATATGTCCAAAATAATTGAAAGTAGGGATTCATGTAGATATCTGCGCACTGAAGTCCACAGCAGCATCATTCACGAGAGCCAAAAGGTGGAAGCAATCAAAGTGGGCATGAATGGATGAACAAAATGGGGAAGACATGTGTGTATGCATGTATTTATAATATACAGTGGAATATTATCCAGCCCTTATAAGGCAGGGAATTCTGACACCTGCTATAATATGGATGAACCTTGAAAATATGCTAAATGAAATAAGCCAGTCACAAAAGGAGAAATACTGTCTAATTCCACTTAGATGCAGTAACTAGAGTAGTCAAATTCATAGAGACAGAGAGTAAAATGGTGTTTCCAAGGACTGAAGGAGCAGGACATGGGGAGCTGTGGTATAATGGGTACACAGGTTTAGCTGGGGAATATCAGACAGTTCTGGAAATGGATAATGGTGATGGTTGCAGAACAATGTGAATGCATTTAATGCCACAGACCTGTACACTTAAAAATGGTTAAAACAGTAAATTTGTTATGTATATTTTACCACAATCAGAAAAAATTCTTTATGGATGAAGGAGCTAAAACAAAGGAGGTCAAAGGGTAGGATAAGGAAGGTGCTGACAAAGCAGGGCTAGTTCTTAGATGACTCAACTTCAGTCCTTATCAGCCGGCTTGCTTCCTGCCTGCCTCCCTGCCTGCTACTAAATGGTAGAACCATTACTGGGGCCCATTGTAAGAACCTGTGCCCTGGGCCACCTGGGATCATAGACCCCCTGTAACTTCATCAAATAAACAGATGATTACAAGGGTAATGTTTTTCTGCTTATGAAAAAAGCAACATTTGCCAAGATTTTAAATAACTGCCACCTCCAAAAAAATCAGCCTTCTTGTTTCCCTCTGCAGTCCCAGTAGCAGCCATCTTTGACTTAAAAAATAAAACAAAAAACAAATCTTTTAATGGCAGGATTGTGCTACTGCATCTGCACCTAATTTATCTGAAGTGATATATGATGTTTCTTAAGAATGGTGGCCCTTTCCTTTGCTCCCACTCTCCTCCCAATTATTGAATCCCAGAACAGATGGAACACACCCCTCACCCCAACCTAAGTGCCATCATTTACTGTGACATTAGAGCACTATCTGGCTGGCTGGTCTTCCGTTTTTGGAAAATTGCCCCCCTCAAAAAAGTAGCCATTAACTTCTTTCATTTTATTTAATTGAAATAGTTGATAGGCAATATTATATTGGTTTCAGATACATAACATAGTGATTTGACAATCACATACACTACTAACTGCTCACCATGATAAGTGTAGTTACCATCTGTCAACATACAAAGATATTACAGTATCACTGACTATATTCCCTATGCTGTGCTCTCATCCCTGTGATTAATTTACTTTGTAATTGGAAATGTGTACATCTTTATCCCCTTCACCTATTTTGCACATGCCCCTATCCCCTTCCCTATGGCAACCATCAGTCTGTTGTCTGTGTTTATGAGTTTCTTGTTATGAAGTAGGAAGAAAAAGGCTCCATATGTCTCTGAAATAACCTGCCTCTATTCCATTGCTATTTGTAGCATTTCCTTACCTGGTTTCTTGTATGTTTGATTTTAATTCGCACAGGATCCTTCAGATCCTGGATGGTAATGTTTCCAATACTGCACGCCATCACATAGCTCACTAAGGTGCCTTTCTTGGTTTCTACATCCTTTTAAAGAAAACACATTGTATATTACTCAGAAGTACACACTTTTATTTTCTTTTGCTGCTCCAAAATACACAAACTGTCACAACTTTTTACACTTATAATCTTCAATTATGGAATATCCTGTTTATAAGATCAAAATGCTGGCTTTCCTGAGGGAACCTTGCTATTTCCCTTACTATAATAAATACATTGAGGGAGCACTATGAGTCAATGTTGTAAGGTAATGTTCATAAAACTTCACTCTTGATTGCTGTGACTGATGCCAGCCAGTTAACATCTGAAACAATGCAAACCCATAAATAATATAAACTCATAAATAGTTATAAAACAATTAGATCATTTCCCGACCCTAGAAAACAGATGAACTTGTTTGCCTTTAGAGAAGTATGAAGGAAACATTGGTTTAAAAATTTAAAAATAAGTCATCGTTCACATCCATGCCAACAGCCTGACTTACACCTAAATATAATTCTACTGAATTAAAGTCCCATCCAGACTTTCTACTTTCTCTGTACACTTGCCACGATCTGTAGCTTACACTTCAGAAATAAGGTGGTCAGGACATCAAATTACTCAATCTGTGCCGCAAAACGATTGGGACCAATGGATTGTCTCTCTAGAGGGGTCGTCTCTGCTTTTGTCAACACCGTGTTTTTCTTGTCAAACCTCCTGAATTTCTCTATGGCAGCCTGTAAGTCATTTGTTTTGGAATAATGGCAGGATTTTTTAAATTTCAAATAAATATCAGCATTCAAAATACAGCTTTTTATTACTCTTGGATGGGCACTCTCAATAGTCAACTACGGCTGGGGGGTTGGGGGACCAGCCATTTCTTAAAGAATATGCCTATCTTTTCCACTGTGTTAGGACCATAGAACCTTTAAATTTTTTCCCACTCTGCTATACATTTGCTTGAAACCCAAACATATGTTTCCTAATAACACGTTGATTAGGAGATACCAAAGGAGAAGGAAAAGACGGTGTTGAGAGATAAGGCTCAAAATGAAAGAATGACGAGCTCTAACCACTGTGAGTCCCCCAGCCCCTTCCCTCCGAGCTCGACCTCTCCTTTGAAGGGAACACCCCAACCTCACCACCCACATTTTGTGATACCTACTGTACTTTTTGTATTGCTTTTAAAGGTGATGGTGTATGCCTCAAATAATTTTAACAAAGGCAGTTTCATGTGTTCATAGCTGTTAAATCCTTCAGAGTAATTTATTACACTCAATCTACTTTCAAAATTTTATATAGCTTTTTCCTAAAACATTTGCTGATGAAATTTTGAAGTTTTAGAATTAATTACTGTATTGATCCACAGTATTCCTTTTACTCACCTGTAACCTTCTTTACCATGCCTTGGCACATGATGCCTAGGGCAGATCTATCAGAAACAATTCTTCTGACCTTGAGAATTGCTATTTTCTCTTACGTAGGTGGCATTATTTGAGATACACTACTATCTTCAATGTAGTAACTTTTATTTTTTAAAAAGGGCTCAGTGAAATTGCTCTAGATCGGGCTGTACTTTCAAAGGCAACCAGAGGTCACCACTGTTTGCTGGCAGTGGACTTTCTAGTATCTAGAAACGATGCCAATAAAAATGATAATATGTATTCAGCACAATGCCACCCTACCCTGGGGATGTGTGAAGGCCAAAGGTCATTTGAAATACTAATGGGAAAACTGATTAAAGCTAAGAATGCTGCTCATTATATAAACAGTGTTTCCTACTGAATTTAGAAAAAAACAAAAACCTTCCTTTACTGTGCAATTTCTTCAACTCTGAAGGTCTGAATTGCTGGAGAGCATAAAATATTTAACAGGAGGAATATTAAATAGTAACTTCTCCACAAATTCCATTTCTAATTGTATTATGCAAGTCTTAATCTAATACTTGAGTTACTTTAACAACTTAAGGGAATAAGCCCTTTAATAAACATGTAATTATTTGAAATAAAAGTTAAGCAATTATGTTAAAATTTTTCATTCTTGAAAATATGGTAGGTTAATTTTTCTATACCTCTTAATATATTTTTAAGGAGTCTGAACTTTCATTTTTTTTTTGAGCAAAACAAATCAATTTGCAAATAAAAAATAATAATTTAATGAATGCTTACCTGGAAAAGTCCTGTTTTATTGAAAAAAGTAAACTGTGCTCTTTTAATTAATATAGAATCTTCTTGACTTAAATTCTCAAATAAGTTTGGAGGTAAAATTACAGAGGCCAATGGATCCACTTGTTCACTCTCAAAATCCATCTGTCAGACACAGAGATGTAGTCAAGGAGTCACAACTAAATTGCAATGATAACTTCATTCCACATTCTGAGTAAGGGAGTAAGGCAGGGGACCAACTGCAAGAACGACTGGCTGAGACCAGGGCTTCCCTGGGTGAATGAATCCTTTACAAAGGCCTGGACCTCATCAGAGCTTTGCAAATGTGGCAAAACAGGAAATGAGCTGATTTTAACTAAGGCAAATTGAAAAATCAAGAATCTAACATTTTCAAGTATAAGAATTAGATTTACACTTGATAAAGTTTGAGCTTTTCATAAAACATGTAGCAAAAAATAACTATCCCTCCAAAAAAGACTGCAGTTCACTTGTCTGATTGCTGGGAATGAGTATCTCTGCACAGAGGAAGCAGCTGAAGTTTAATGAACACTCTTGGATATCATTTTTCCTGAACCCACAAATCAGGCCAAAGAGTGTTTTCCTGCAATGGACGAGCATGAGACAATGGCTGACCCAGTTTTCACTCTTAAAATGTGAGACAGAATTACCCAAAAGGGACCCTAGTTTAAAGCAGAAAAAAATTCTTCCTGATATCTAGATTTTTAAATGTTATCTTGGTTCACCTCCACAGTTAAAAGCTTAATAACATGCCACTGTGTGTTCTCCCACGTTAAGGATGACGTTTCAATCATTCATTAGCCCCCAGGGGGAACACTGTCTAGCACTTAGTAAGAATTTGAAAATCATTTGCTGAAGTATCACTTGAACAGGTCAAAGAAGCTCTCTATTAATCTGGCCCCAGTTTTCTTGCCCAGCCTCACCGCCACCAGCCATCCCTAAGCTTCACATCATTGGTTCTCAAGGTGTGATCGATCCATAGACCAGCAGAATCAGCAATACTCAGGAACTTGTTTAGTGTGGATTTTGGAGATCCACACAGGGCTTACTGAGTTAGAATCTCTAGGGATGGGACCCAGCAATCTGTTTGGACAAGTCCTCCATGTGATTATAACATGAACCATTACATTTTGAGAATCACTAGCAAAGAGAATACACCATACACTTGTTCACTCTCAAAATCCATCTGTCAGACACAGAGATGTAGTCAAGGAGTCACAACTAAATTGCAATGATAACTTCATTCCACATTCTGAGTAAGGGAGTAAGGCAGGGGACCAACTGCAAGAACGACTGGCTGAGACCAGGGCTTCCCTTGGTGAATGAATCCTTTACAAAGGCCTGGACCTCATCAGAGCTTTGCAAATGTGGCAAAACAGGAAATGAGCTGATTTTAACTAAGGCAAATTGAAAAATCAAGAATCTAACATTTTCAAGTATAAGAATTAGATTTACACTTGATAAAGTTTGAGCTTTTCATAAAACATGTAGCAAAAAATAACTATCCCTCCAAAAAAGACTGCAGTTCACTTGTCTGATTGCTGGGAATGAGTATCTCTGCACAGAGGAAGCAGCTGAAGTTTAATGAACACTCTTGGATATCATTTTTCCTGAACCCACAAATCAGGCCAAAGAGTGTTTTCCTGCAATGGACGAGCATGAGACAATGGCTGACCCAGTTTTCACTCTTAAAATGTGAGACAGAATTACCCAAAAGGGACCCTAGTTTAAAGCAGAAAAAAATTCTTCCTGATATCTAGATTTTTAAATGTTATCTTGGTTCACCTCCACAGTTAAAAGCTTAATAACATGCCACTGTGTGTTCTCCCACGTTAAGGATGACGTTTCAATCATTCATTAGCCCCCAGGGGGAACACTGTCTAGCACTTAGTAAGAATTTGAAAATCATTTGCTGAAGTATCACTTGAACAGGTCAAAGAAGCTCTCTATTAATCTGGCCCCAGTTTTCTTGCCCAGCCTCACCGCCACCAGCCATCCCTAAGCTTCACATCATTGGTTCTCAAGGTGTGATCGATCCATAGACCAGCAGAATCAGCAATACTCAGGAACTTGTTTAGTGTGGATTTTGGAGATCCACACAGGGCTTACTGAGTTAGAATCTCTAGGGATGGGACCCAGCAATCTGTTTGGACAAGTCCTCCATGTGATTATAACATGAACCATTACATTTTGAGAATCACTAGCAAAGAGAATACACCATACATCTTCCCACCTTTGGACCCATAATAAAGTTCTCTTCTCATTGAACTGACCCCTTCCCCCAACTCACAGTTCCATACTTAGTCCCACTACCACCCCCTGTAGAAGATAAGCTGACCACCTCTGTCACCTGGGCTCTGAAAGTGGATCTCCCCTCTGTGTCCATATAATTTATGCCTACTGCCATTGTTAACCCTGGCCAGCATTCAGATCTGCCTGCCACCCCTTGGACCTAGATCTCCTGGAAATAGAACTGGTAGGTGATAAGAAAGTTTTTATTTGTCTAATTAATTAAACTTAAAGAAACCACTGGCTCCTTACCTGGAAATAGGATTCATTATTGCTTGGAAGACTGATGCTAAAATTTGAAATTTCATTTGTTGTTGGGGACAGGGATGACACTCCAAGGGCCAAATTCCGAGTTGTAATATTCACATGTGATGTGCTATTTAGGTCTATCTTGAAGGCCAATTCATCAATTGTTTTTAAAGCCCTAAAGAAATGACAAATAATGCCACTGTTAAGTAACATGTTTTTAGGTACTTGCACACATGTGATTTCCTGCAGGAAAAAATACAAACCAAATAGAATTATCTTGAAATTTTCTGATCTTGACATGAATACACACATAAGTGCCCAACTACAATACACCAGTTAAAACACAGAATCAGTGATGAATGTATCTTCAAGGGAAACAGATGCTTTAATCATCCTAAACTAATACTCTGTTTTTTACCTATCTTAGCCTCTTTCCTTGTATGAAAAATACCCTTCCTACCTCATAACTGAGTGAGAGGCAAAGGGAACAATGTGGTAAAATATCTTGGAACTGCAAGACATTGGGAAAAAAAATTCTGTAATTATTATGTAGATAAGGTAAGTGAAAGAATACATTTAACAAATATAAAATTATTATCAAAGAAATTTGGCTGAAAGGAAGGAAACAGAAAAAATTAAATGTTATATTAGTACATTAAATGAAATGCTTGTACATAAACTGAATTGTGTAAAAATAGGTAATTTCAACCTGCCCTAGGCATTTTCATTTCAGAAATACAGCAGTCACACAGCTGTTGGGAGTTCTGTGTCACAGTCCACAGGATAATGCCTTATGGTGACCAAGTTATACCTAAAAGATGTGTGTTAAAAATATCTCAATTGTCTCCTTTGCAAGCAAAAGAAGGGTCGCCAGTTAATATATACAGTAGTTTATCTTCTGAATTAACCCCAGAAAATATTTTTCAGATGAAAAATGAAATGCCAGTTATTTGGAGAAATAGTTGCATATCTTGCCAGATGGACCATCCTAATCATTTTGTAAAATTATATTTCCCCCTCCAAAAAAAAAGAACTTTGAAGTTCACTTGGGAAACACCAAAGAACCTCCTATGAAAGATGGGCCCCAGGTATTCAGCTATGTGAGAAATTGTATGACAACACATGTATCCAATATATTTTACTTCCCCAGAAGAAAAAATCACTTACTCAGAAGAAGACTCAAGCAAGTCGCTGTCTGAACTGGTTAAGATGTTAGAAAATATATTCATTAAAGTTGAGCCAAGCATTATATCAATGTTTTCTTCTTTATTCACGATCCTTTTGACCTGTTCTACAATGCTGGTAATGTTGGCTGAGGTTAAGGTCTGCCCATCACCAGTTAAATTTAAAATCTGATTGGCAACTTCACTGGCTTCCCCTGAAAAAAAAAGGGCAGAGAAAACAACATACAAAATTTTACTTATGTCTTTTGGGCATTTCCAGGAATCTGAAAACATAACGTGGTATTTCCCTTCACAGGTAAGGCAGCAAATGAGGCTTCTCAGGGGATCACAGGAATCTTATCAGAATCTTCAAAGGACAATAGTATTTTTTTACACACTTCTGTCTTCAGTAAGATACAGATTGTGCTTTTCAACAACTTAGGTAAATAACTTGGAGGGACCAGTATTCATATATAATTCTAAGAGAAATGTCCCCAGAATCATGGAGTGTATATCTGCTTTTTAAAAATAATACAAAACTATAAGACATTGATTGAAATATCAATGTCTATATTAAGTCTTCCTCTAAATTTTTTGATATTTTTTTTAGTCTCCTTTAGAATGAACAGAACAGAAAGTTAGAATAGGAAATACTATTTTCTACCTTAAGTAAGTGAAACAATCATTAGCCTCATTTTTAAAATCACCGTGTTTATCCCATAGCAGAACATGTCTAAGGACAATGAAAGAAGCATGAGGTCATGTATCTTGCCTTTGGGAACCGAAGAAAAATCACTCACTTACTTGAACAGTTGGAGATATCAGGAGGTCCCCAGTAGACTAAAGATGTGTTAGTAGGGTCACGGTGACTAAGAAACAAAAAAAGATAGTTCAGATTTTGGCATCAATGGCATTATAACTGACATCATTAGTTAATAGTAAGTTTTAGAATTTGCCTTGGTATCTAGTAAGTTTCATTCTAAAATAGAACTAATACACTGAAATGAAACTTATGTTTGGAGTCTTTTTGGAAAAGAAATCAGGTAGCCTGTACCCTAACCTAGGATAAATCAGGTTACTAAGAAGAAAGACCTATTTGGTAACATGGGTCAAGTGAAGCTTTAAGAACTTTCCAGATAAAAATCTGACTTTTCTTTCACATACCTCTGTAAGTAATAATAATCCACACTGTATAGATGAGGTAGATAAATTGAGGAATGTTCCAAGGTCTTACAGCCAGGAAGAGGTTGAGCCACATTTCAAACTCAAGTCACTAAGTCTCGAAAGCCCCCTTCTTTCCTTGCTACTGCACGTCAAACACAGCAGCCACTGCAAAGTATTTCCCCTTGGCAGTTTCTGTTTCTGAATTCCCCTGCAAGAAAACTCTAACTGAGGGTGAGATGGAGGGTGAGGAATTGGATATGACTTGCTATTTGGCGAATCCTCTGCAGCCAACCTGCCTGAGGTTTGTTAAACATTTACAAAATACCTACACCCTGATGGTCTCCATTAGCAGACTGCCCCAACCGGGATCCTCCTTTACTCCCTCATTTGCTGCCTCTTCCTCCCTCCAACAATAACCACTCCAAATAGCTAAAGTGTCTTGGAATTTCAGATGCATATTCCGATGCTGTGAGCTGACTGGGGTCAACCATATATAAGTTGCTTTGCTCTCTAGCCACTCTCTGGTTTCCATTTCTCCATGTTTCTTTGGAGAAGGCTAAATTAGCATGTTTGGAGGAAAAAGGCTTCGTTTGGGAATTTAGATGCCTCATCTTTACCCCCATAGGGTGTATGATTTAGGCATTCACAGAGGTTCCTGTCCTTCTTTCCAATCAATATACAATGCATGGAGTCAACTGTGCAACAACACTGAGAAGGTTGATAATATGGAGCTTTGCAGGCAAGAGTCCATGAAAACATTACCATGTCCGTGAAGCATAAAAGCCTTGCTTCCCTGGACAGGGAGAGATGTACACAGAAGGTGGGATGACTGGCCAATGATAGCCTTTGGGATCCTCATCGGCAAGACAAAAACCTACGTGAAGATAAGAGCCAACATGAGAACGTTCATTCTATCTATTCTTTGAGGACAGAGGGGCAAGATGAGAGCAAAATGACATGTTGGCAGTTAGGTATGTATTTCGAGTACTACTAAAATAGGTTTTTATTTTCAGAACTTGTAAAAATTTAGAAATTAGGAAGTATTAATATACAGTACATTTCAGATACAAAAACTGTTACAGCTTACAAAAACATCAAACAAAAAACACCTGCTTATGTGAGTATAAACATGAAACATGCATTGTTTTAATGTAAATAATTAGCAGATAAAATTGGTAGAATAAAAGTTTATTTAAAAAACATGAAAAATTTAAAAAATATGTAAAATGAAAACAGTCTGGCAAAATTCATGTATTTTGATCTTTTTTTCAAAGGGGATAGGCTATAAAATGGTGCACTGTGTCATCACTGAGTTGTGAGCATATTTTCTACATATTCGCTCATTCTCAAATCATCCCACCTGTTTGAAAACTCCCTAGGCAAATGTCATGACATATGTGCTTCCAGTTTTACAAGTTTTAAAATATCAAAATAAAAGCAATGTATCAACAACAAAACCTTGTAATTCAGTTCTGAAAAATAGCAAGTTATGCCAGACTACCGGGAGCCAGTAGTGCAGTCACCAATTGATCATTTAAATGACTTTCCATCTATATTCTAAGTCTTAAAATTGTCAGGATTTGGCCTTTTTGTTTTCAATTGGTAGAAACTTTTCTTCATGGACCCACTTGCAGAAAGGCAGTAAAGTATAGAATTTAAATTAAGGGGTATAAATTACACTTTTAGGATTCCTCAGCCTCTGAGGACAGCTAGAGCTGAGGCGGTCCTCACAAGGTTTTGGCATTTGGAAAAAAACTGCTATTCATCAGGATACTTCTTTGCAGAGACTTGTATGTGTGACTGGATAGCATCGGTTATCTCCTCACCTCTAAGAAGCCCCGTTTGTTAATAAGCAAGCATTCCTGTGTGTGTACTGGTCTGGATACAAAGTATATTTCTCACTGTAGGTTGGAGTCAGAAAAGTTTGAAAGCTGTTCTGAGATAGAGGCAATAGTCTTTGCAGAGATATGAAGAGAGTTAAGACATTGGGACATATGGATTTTTAAGTGTAAAAGGGTGATGGGAGATAATTTCCTGATTTTGTAGAAATGGAAATTATGACACAGCAGGAGACTTTGGCTGTCTGCCAAGGGGAATGTGAGGAAAGACAGCGAAAGGGGCAGACTGTAAAAAAAAAAACTAAGTAAGCACGCATTCCCCGCCAGGAGCTCAGAAACTCTTGATGCTGACAAAGATGATAGTAATTTGCATTCTTCTACCTCTGTGAGTTCTCTGTCATTGTGTGTGTTGACACATTTGAGATGGGTAGTTCCTCACAAAAGCAGAGGTGTCTACTTCTTTATTACAACATGATTCTGGCCTCAGTTGTAATCACTCTCTTACAGACTGAGAAACATCAGCTTCCCCCACTGCAACCTCTTGCCTGTGTATAAGGAACAGTGGCAGAGTTTTCTTTCCTCTTGGTCTCTATTACTGTGCCTAATCATAATATAATTACAGTCATATGATAACATGAGAATAATAACTTTATTTTTGTTGTCTGTAGTTTTGATCATTCATTTTTCAAAAATATTCCCATCAAGCCTCATTTATTTATTCAAGTACTTAAGCTAGGGAATGTGCTGGGTGCTGGGAGAGGTAGAAGCGAAGATGTTAAAGAAAACAAACGTATTCTTAAGCCAAAGGAGATTCCTGTTTAAAGAAAATTTATATAAGAAAGAAGTAAGTCCAGTCAATACTATGGTCTTCTAAGGTGTACATTGCTCTCAGTATGGACAGCATGAAGTATAGGCTCAAAGGTGATGCTATCTATTTACACATCATGTCAGAAAGGCTTCATAGATGAGGTGACTGGGCTGTCTTTAAAACTCCTTAGGTGAAGAGCAGGTGGATGGCGGGAGTAGAGAGCAATGTGGGCAAAGACATAGGTACAAACGAGCATGGCATGTTGGGGGCAGTGAGGCAGTACTGTGTGTGTGACTGGAGCCTAGGATGTGAAAAGTGTCTAAAGCACAACTCAATCTAGATCCTGGATAATTCCCAGAATTCTGGCCAATTCCTGCAAAGACAGTGGTATCACTAATAGAGACAGAAAACATAGAGAAGGAGATGTGTCACAACGAGAAGTTGCCTTTTATAAAATTTACCTCAACAGAGTTCCCATATATACTCCCTCACTTTACACCCAAAGCTGAAGCCAATTCTGGTCAAGGCTATCCTGGCATTTTGCTTGTAATCTTAAACTCTCACCTGCCTTTTTCATCCCCTTAGATTCGTTTAAGTATCAAGTTGATATCTTTGTGCTAACTGCTGTCACCCACTTGTTACAAGGTCACCAATATGATGAATTATCATTATCAGAAAAAACTAGCTTTAAATAAGCAAACAACAAACAAAGGTAGAATATTTTTGTTGTTTCTATCAAACCTGAATATATAGTCACATAGAACACAATAAAAAAATTAAAGACACTTACCCAGTTGCCTCACATTCACTGTATACAGCCTCAAGCCCTCACCCAGGGAATCGTTGTTTTTTAAGAGCTTCTGTTGAATGACCTTTCCTTCTAAACTGGGACTGTTGGTAGCATTGTAGACTAGAAGGGCCCTGATCATCAACCTAGGAAAACATTTCAGAGAGTGCTGTTGGAGTTGTTGACTAGTTGGTTGTTTCTTCGGTGGAAAAATAGAACATTTAGATAAGGTGTGAAAAAAATGACGGTGAAGTGTTGACACCAAAGAAAAATGCCAAGATATTAAAAGACTTCTATTGCTGCATAAATTCTGATGTTAAAAATACCTCAATATGAATAGATTTTAAAGGATATTACATGTATGGTTCTATCAGATTGTATCAGCCCATTTTTAAAAGAAATATCTGAAGTAACATTTCATAGCATACATGCAATAAAGGGCCATACTTGTGGTTAATTCCATTGTTTCCTTATAGCCACAAAATAAAGTTTTTTTTTTTTAGAAAAACCAGAAATTCAACTAATCTGATTAAACTGATAATCTGACTTTTTGGGATTATTGAGTATTACCATTTATAAATGTGTTGCAATTTCTCCAGAATTGTGATAAATGGTGTTCCATGCTCATGAAGCATTTGTAAGTACTTTGTACAGTGAAGACTGAGAAAATAAAACTTAAAATATACTTGGAACATCAAAACATACAATACACTTGATAGAGCAAAACTTTTGATTCTATAGTTTGAAGTAATATAATAATCTGTTCAACAGTAATCATTGCTATCGCCAATAGCAGAAATCAAAACATTACAACATCAAAGTGGTGGCATTGGTTCTGAAATAAAAATACAGTACTCAGTGGGAAGTCATGGCATATTTTATTTGTGAACTTCTCTGGGTATCAGTAAAAATGAAATAGAGTACTCATATATTTGTGGTGGTAAAAAAATAAAGGATAAATGCAATATATGCTATTCCGGCTTAGATGAAATTAAAAAATAGCTCTGTATTTTCTCCTTAATATCTATGCTGATCTCCAGGACAAAGTGCTCTACTGTTCTCATAAGTCACTCTGAAAAGCTATTTCTCTCTAAAATAATCTACTGCTTAATGCTCATATATGTAAGTCATATTTCAGGGCGAGACAAACCTAGGTGTGAATATAATGGTCAACTGTACTATCTTAAGACTTTTTTAAATGGCTCATGACAAAAAGTATCCCTTCATTAATTTATTGTTGAATGATAAGCTCTGCCACTCCTGTTACTGAAAACTTCCAATTGGGACTATGACCTTTTATTTCTTTTGAATATTGAGGCCATCATTAACATAATGTATTGTGATAACATTAAATACCCAAGTTCAGCAATTCAAGAATGACCAGGCATTTTCACAGATCTTATCTGTTATTTTCCTCTCTCATCCTGAAAACTGAAACTATTTTATGGTTCTACAAAGTCAAGTTCTATCAGCTGTTGCCATCAGTCATTCTTTGTTTGAATAAATGCGTCTCTGGGGCTCTGGTTTCCTGTCCAGGCGATAGAGTATGATAGCAATTTCTGAAGCTATGGTCTGTTTAAGTTTTACAATAGAATTGAAAAGAAAAGTTTAGAAAAGACTGTGGGTAAAACTAGTAGACTGGTTTTGAGAAAAACTATGAGTGACTCTAAAGGTTCACCAATGAGCATAAGAGCAGTAGAAAATAGAAAAAACAGAGAGAAAGGCTGTAAGAACAAATTTTTAAAATAATAAGGTTTCAAACTAAAGAAAAAGGAAATGTGTTTATTTTCCTGTATACACTGTCTTTATTCACTCTCCCTATAATTTTCTGTGGAGTAACTCTTTGGTTTGACAGACAGGAAAGTGAGATTCCATGAATTTAAATTAAATGCCTTTCCAGCAAGAGTTTTTCAGGTCCTAACATGTGCTACAATGGCTCATTTCACCTCGTCAGGTGATAGGAGAACCACAGGAGGTAGGCTGAAAATGGCCAGGCTGACCTCCTGAAGAGCGTGGACTACAACCGGTGACACCCCAAACCAGGGCGGCCCCAACTGCCAGACAGTGCCCGGCAAAGGTATCCAGACTGCTGGGGGATCAGAGTTCAATACAATCTCGTGGTGAAGGTTGGAGAAGAAAATTATTTGGCTAAATAGAGGAGAAAGTTCCTTTCACCATCAAGATACAGTATTAAAATATGTTACTCTATACTTTAGATCATAAAGGAAAAAGGACAATGTCATCAGAAAGTAAAAACTTTCCCTAATCAGATGGCTCAATCTAGTCTGTTGAATATATACAGAAATGTCTCAAATATGATTTAAAAATTTTTCTAATGATGAAAAAGAAAGAAAAACTGTTCAACTCTCATATAAAATTTTATTTTTATCTTCTCCTAGTAAGAACATCTAACCTAAAAAGAAGTATATTCCATCATGTTTGTAAATCCGTAACATGAATCCAGTCAACTGAAACTGAGCAAGACTTTTTGCAAACTTCTGCTTTTATTTTTTTATTTTAGGAAGATGCAATCCCCTACCTGAATACAACTAAATTAATTTTTTTTAGGAGTTTGTGTTGTTTTTCATAATACCGCACTCTGAACAGCTGGCCTTTATATGCCAACAGATTATGGTGGACATATCCATTAAATGACATGCCTGTGTAAGCCATGACCTTGATATAGATTTTAAAATGCACACTTCAGAAAATTACCTGATGGTTTTGAATGCTGAAAGTATTTGGCACCTATTGCCCATATTATTAGAGGCTATTGTACAGAAGTACCTTAGTTAAAATAAAACTATAACTATCATTTCTTCGAAGGATTTTTGAAATTGCAAATAAGAGGTAATGGGTTACCACAAATATACTAGAAGTACTAAAAATAATAATTCATCCATTTTAAATGTTCTACTTCTGAATTATTTTTCACTAGATGTACATTTCTACCTAGTCTGCTATATGACAGTTTTAACTACAAGAAAAAAAATAGTGTGCATTAGTGCTAAAGAAATAATTTAAATGTGATCCTTGATTAAAATGTTTCTCTCCTATCTCATTTTCATTTCTTTTTCAGTCAAAACAGGGGGCAAGAGAAAGGATGTTACACATTTCTTAAGACTTCACAGAATTACCTTTGATCATCCACAATACTTCTCTTGACTTTAATCTTGTCCTCTCCTGTGTTCAAGTGAAAACTATAAATACAAATACATATATTCATTATCAGCCTCATCTGCTGCAGCATCAACAACAAAATTCAAGGAGGTGAAAGAGGCAGAATGGATATTCTAAGCCACTATTTCCAAATGTGTGTTCTGAGGTTCGAGTTCTTTCATGTGCTCTGGACTGGATGTATCAGAATATCTCAGATTCCTTAAGCAGTATAAATTTTTAAGAGAGAGCAAGGGCATGCAGTGGCTGAGCTTGTGTATTCATGCAGAGTTGTTTTAGAAAGATCATGAATAGGGTGCATGTTGTGTATGTGTATACCTGTGTGTTTGCGCAGGTCTAATTAGAGGGGGAGAGTAGTATTACTTTAGCTACTACTTATTTCTCAAATAATTTAATCTGTCATTTACCTGATATTAACCACATAAACCGTGTAGTTCCAACTTCGGAAGGTTGAATTGAGCTGAAAAATACAATGGAGAAGAGTGAGTTTTACAGCAATGCTTAAAAAATAATCTGAATTGAGTTTCTTCCCTCCCAAAAGATAAAACCCTGGGAAAATCCTGAAGAGCTAGAGGAGTGAAATAAAGGTCTAGAGATAACAGGTACTGGATCATTGTATGCCAAGAACTTTACAAATGTTATTTCTTTCAATCTCACAGCAACTAATGAGATAGGGATTATCTGCCCCTTGACCTTACATATGAAGAAACCAAGCTTCACAAACATGATGTCACTCGCCCAAGGTCACCCAACTAAGAAATAGCAGATTCCTGATTGCAAACCAAGTCTGTCTGTCTGGAAACAGTACACTTTCCTTTCCAACCTGGACCTCTGTAAACTGGGCCTTCAAATTAGCCGAAACACTGAGAAGGTAGCTGTCAGCCAGTACACAGGAAGGAAGATTTGCACAATATGCATTTTCCATATTCTTCATTCAAGAAACACTAAGGTGTAATAAAAGACGTTTTTCTAGTAATAGCCTTATCTCATAAGGATATTATTAGTAGCAAAAATTAAATTAACAATATAAACAACAAAGAAATAAGTGCAACACTATTGGGAACTATGTTAATTATTATGTAGTTATTTAACAGTCTTTATAGTCTCAGCACCAGGGTTTTTAATGAAGCACTGGATTCCTCTCAATATACTAACAACCTTCCATGATGCATTCATTGTCCAATACAATCACAAAACAGGATTTCTTTACTGACGTGAAGCCTCCTATTTCTGTATCATCTCCAAAGAGTTTTTTATGTGTCTTGTTTCCCACACACATTTTCCTTCCTTGTAAGCATTTCTAAAATGGAATATACATTCTAGAAAATGTTGGAAAAAGTATTCAATTATTTAAAAATTGTAAATAGTAATAATATGAATCAGGGACACCACTTACATATTCTCTTTTATCAAGTATATGCTTTGGTATCTCGCACCTTATACAGTATCCAGTGAAGTTTAGCTTCATATGAGAATGACACTACATTGAACATCATGTGTGTCAGAATATAAACGTAAAATTATATGTTGCCTAAAGCATAGACTTTTTAGTGAATACTAATTTTTGAAATTCATAACATTACCAGTGGCTTAGGTGAGAATGAAAATGAAGAATTTTACTTATTGAAATCATTCTGACTTAAAAAGAATACTGCTGCAAAGAAAATGGGATGCAAGAAAATACTCTGTAAAGTCCCTTCTCCATTTAGAAATAAAATATTTCTAGTGTGTGAATTAGTTACCACCATTAATGTGTCAGTCCAACAGGTCAACAGCAGCATTTTTCTCTGACTTCTATTGGAGAATTTCAGTCCCTTCTTCCCCATTCTGGCACCCAATTTTGTAATGGAATTGTTAATCACATACCATTATTTCCTGTGGTCAACTGCTTTCAAAGGTGATTGCTTTTCAAAAAATAAGACTATATTTTCCTATCAGTTGTTCACCAAATATACGTATTTTAAAGTATTGACACAACTAGCTCTCAATGCACGTTTTACCTTCTTTTTGCTACTATGGACAGGTTTATTAGACACCTTCTGCCACTAGAAAACCCACTTCTTACTTCAGAGTGTATACAGAATTGACTTGACAAAAACTATTTGAACTATAATAGTGTTATATACATAAAAAGCAGTACAAACTCCCACAGTATGCAACAAATAGGAAATATGATAGAATAAAGTAAAAACCTATGGAAAATGAAAATTTTCCAATTGTTACAGAGAATAAAATGAAAAAATTCATAGGTTGTATTTGTAAGAAAAGAAGAAAAAAATGCTAAAGTTTTCTTTAAATTGGAAATGACCAAAATTTTCATTATAGAATACTGGTTCAATAAATACCCATCAAAAGACTCGTTAAATAAATGACCAGTCACAAAATGGAATACTATATACTTTGAAAGAAAAAAATATAAGGAATAAGAAAAATAAATACAGTGTAGAATGGTGTATCAAAAATGCTATTTCTAGTGTAAAAAAGGAGATAAATAAGAAATCTATAGCTTCATTTTCTTTTCTGGGCACAAAGAAATTCTGGAAAAACTCAAGAAAAACTAACAGTGATTTTGAAGAAGATGGGCTGGTCTCCAGAGATGAGCTACAAGGATGGGTGGAAGATCTTCGTGATGTATCTTTTTATGCTTTTTGGGTTTTGAATCAAGCATTCAAACAATTAAATAAAAAAATTAGAAATCTATTTTTGAAAACCACATTGAGAAAGTATGGATATAACAGTAAATGAAGATACCTACTAAAATGTATTTCCATTTGTGTGGTACTTCTCTTATTTAGACTTAAAAATCCGTCAGACTTAATCAAACACACCTCTCTTCCCATACATAAGTATAACACCTCATTTAAAGTACCTATTCAGACATTTATAATGAGAGTATCTATGTTTCAGTATAATCTGTGGATTCAGTTACCCAGATAGTAGATCTCTTCCAGATTGCCAGAAGCTAAAGGTTTAAAACCAAAAAAGAAATTTTACAAGTTCACTTACCCATTCTGCCACCTTGCTCTGTACTTTAACCTCAGGGTGACGAAGGATGTTTTGAATCACTATGGAGATTCTAAAGACAATTCCATCTGTCCATTGGAAATAAGATTTAGTCCATTAATTATATTTTACAGTCATATAATTATCAATTTAAATTTACAATCACACAATTTCATTCAGTTTAAGAAAAACACCTTCTACATAGGTGCAAAAAATTTCTAAGATATTTTGCCTTTATGCTCATCGACTTTTCCAACTTACGAGAAATAGCTGTCAATTCATTTACTCTTGAAAATATTTCATTGCTCCTAGATTATCACCTACATGTATTTCTTTGTATGCTTTAATTCTATAGATTTCTGATTATCTACTGTACATAAAGTGATTTTTAATGTACAATTTCATTTCTTGTAATAAGAATTATGTTTTTGTACATTACAAGAAATGATAAAGAGTTTGGGATGTGAAGAAGAGTGAGAGGATGGGCCAGAGTTAACCTGAAGAAGAACTGGTATGTATTACTGCCCTCTGCCCCTTTCCCCTTCTCTTTCTGGCTCCTAAAAAGCAATTTACTTCTACTAGGTTATTGGGGTGGATTTCACCAGTTTTCTCATCAAAATTCCCTAAATGTAGTCATCTGTATCAAAGTGGGGTGGGGGAGAATATTTGCAGACAGAATTTACCTAGACTACATTGTTTTAAAAAAGAAAACTTTACGTGAGAAAAATCTTTGGGACAATTGTTAAGATAGTCTGATAACACTTTTTGTGAATGAAAATCAAACTCATCAGTCAAGGTTTGGGCAAAATCTTTCTATATATGTGCTATAAGGCACCTTACTAAAAGTAGCTAATGTGAAAATGCCCTTTTAAAATACGGTAGGTCACAGAGAGGAAAAAGAAAATTTTTTTACATCTCCATTATTGTCAATCATCTTTCTTCATGTTAATGTTTTGGTAAGTCTTATATAAGGTATGCATAGAAAACTCAGAAATATATAGTTAAAACAATGTTGGGGAATGGATTTAGAAAATTTTGGGGAGGCAAGAGAAAAAAATACAAATATATGCCTCAGGAACCTCCATATCTACCAAAATGCAAATACCAGTTCCACTACTAACGGAATGTTTTTCCAGTATGCAGTCAGAATCTTGTGCAAAAAAAATTGCCACTCCTGGATGTAATAATATTATACACATATGAAATTGTATAAGTCCAAGGACGAGTGAGCTTAACTTGTACAGACTAGGTTATTTCAGCTTCTAAATCTCTTCAGGTATTTTAATGATCTTGATCTTTTATTTCTTTTAAAAATATTCTGAATGAAAAACTCGGAGGACTTTATTCAAAACAAATGATAGTAATGCAGACAAAAAAATCCTTTTTATACTGGATACCTCATCATATCAAATCATAGATATTCTGAATGATTGAGAGGAAACTCCAATTGCGGATGTCAGTTATTTCAGGATTCTGCGGATATTCCATGAACCGTCACTGGTGCCGGCTGAGTAACTAAAAAGCTACCACTAGATGGCGACCTAGAGCACACGTTTATTTACCGTAGTATTCTTTCCCTCTCAGGAGAATATAGCAAAATACTAAAAATCAATATTTTCATTCACTGTCACTTCTGAAATTTTATGGAAACATCCATTCAATGAATTTTTCTTTAAACTTTAAATATTTCCTGGCTCCCTTTTATCCATCCAGTTTTAATAAATGAGGAAGACATCCAATACCAGAGACAGCCTAAATCAATGTATTAGTACTCTCCCTAGAATTATATCGATTATGGTAAATAAAATTCTGTGACGGCACCAAACAACCTAGTACCTTGTGTTACAGATTCTCTTGTGCTATGGGTCATTTTCAAGAAGTCTCTCTTCAGGAGCCCTGGAATGAGGTATTTATATATTTAACCAAAAACTACTCAGCAGAATTTACTTGTCTTACATTTAAGATTTTGAATAATTTAGTCAACAGGTAAACATGCGAAATGTCCAAGGGTGAATTGTCAAAGCAAGATAAAAGGTCCTACTGAACAGTTTTCGAGACAGATTCTGGAATGCAGCAAATAATTGGCTTAAGCATTGCTATTGCAGAAAATGCACATTTAAGACATATTGATGCAGGCTTTTCCATGTCATCCTAGCAGTCAAGATATGTTCTCCCATAGTGCAAAACTCCCATGATATTTCAATAGAAAACCTGTTCACAAATCTTCGTATGTTCCAGAGATTTCAAAAGGTGTTATGTATTATCCTAATAATGGCATCCAAGCCAGAATTCATGATAGACATTTCTTGGGGTAAAAAAGGATTTAAGAATATATCCATTTTCCATTTAGATCACTCTTAAACCAGGCAAAACTTCAAAGTAGAAGTAATTGTATGCCATTATAGATGTGGTATGAAAACAGTATTCCTGTCTAGGTCTTTCTCCAATTAATCTTTCTTTTGTCTTCTTAACACTTCTCAGAGTTTCTTGGAAGATACAGAAATGACACTACTTCAATCTATACTCAAGGGTGTGAAATAAGGGCCTAAAAAGTAGATTTTAAAATATATACTTGAAAATACAGATGTTAAAATATAAACCAAATGTTATTTTAGATTCAAGATTATATCTTTAATCTGGTGATGAGGCAATTATATGACTGACATTTATGACTGGAATCCTGCTCATTTTACATGATTTCTTTAAGATACCTGGCATATAAAAGTACATTGATTGTTGGATCCATAGATAATCCTGAGTGAACTTTTTTGTTTGAGTAGTTAAACATATGTGAGAAACTAGAAACAATGATATAATTAGTACTTGTAAACAGAGTTTTTAAAACAATAATAAGGTTGCTTGTGCTGACCTTACAAAAGTTTAATTACTATTCAGTAGTGTGATGCTTCAAGCATAGAAGACATGATTTGGAAGGGAAATAATAATTAGCCCAAGAGTTTTCTTAGGAAAGTAATGGAAAAGGCACAAAGGTTATTTCTGGGAATACTTTGATTACCCATTATATACTGAAATATCTGTGAAAAGTAGCTTAAAAGATAAGATTTTCTTAGTATATCATCTGAGGTATGACATAAAAGTCCTAACAACTTTAAATAACAAAACAACTTTTCACAGAGAAATAAGAACATTTCACAGAAGCCAGGAAAAGAAATTTTATTGATATATTGAAGAAATATATATGATTGTCAAACAATTTCAATTTCCCCCCTCCCTACACCGGCATATCATTACTGATGATCTAAGCAGAACCTTTGATAGTCCTGTCCAGACTGGACTGGTAGATGGCAGAGTTGATAGTTGTGCCTTTCTTAAACAATATTGAATTCTCTAAGATATCAGATCATAAGCTTGAAAATGTTTACTATATCAGTTTCCCAAGGAATAAGAAAAGTGTATTTGTAATTGTTGACAGTATATGAATGATCTTAGATAGCCCAGCACATGACATTAAATCCCATCTATTCACAAGGCAATTCTCTTTTCAGTTATTTCAAATTTGACTACATCAGAGAAAAAAAGTTATTCAGTCATTTCAAATTAGACTACATCAGAGAAAAAAATCTAGTCTTTCTCTGACACTTTGTTACTTTATCTTTTTAAAAAGATAAGCCTCAGGAGCTGAGATGAGAGAAAGCAATAAGACACAGGAGAATTCAATGACATCATATTGATTGTTTTCATTATACTGGCTTTCACTTTTCATTTCTATTTTGAAACAAGTAGTACTGGTTTCATTTTACAATAGCGAAATCAATTTTCCCATATAAAACACAACTGTTCAAGTAAAAAACTGAGTAATTTCAGTAAAACAAAACCTCCAAAACAACTATTAAATAAATAGCAAAGGTGGATCAAGGATGTGGTGCAAATCGTTCCAATAATACACAAATTTGCAGTACCCAATTTAAGAATATTTCTACTGCAGGATGACTTTTGAATGTTTTTAAATGCTAGAATTACATTTTTATCAAGCATCATCTGAATGAGATTTTTTTTTTTCTTTAATGCAGTCAAGTCAAACCATTCTAACTGGTTCTAACATTTGCTTGCTTTGTTGAAACGCCAAAGAAGGTTATGACGCAGAGAGAGACGGACTGAACAAGGCTCTCTTCAAGAATGTCAGAAATGACATGCCTGAGTGAATTCAGCTCCACTGCACCAAGGCAAGACTCTGAAGCATCATACAGACGTTCTTGGGCAGTAGAGGACGTGCCAGTCCTTCAGGGAGAATGCCACAGAGGCTCTTTGTATGTTCATACAAAGAGCGAAGTACTTAGTTAGAATTATAATATTCCCATCTGCTGGCTGGGGTCCATGTGAAATAGGCCCTGGAAACTCCAGCTGCTGTTGCTTTCTTGGGGGCTGCTGGAATTTTTGCTCCATCATAAATCTCCTTGGTGCAACTACCAGAATAACCATAAACACTTCCCTGAATCGATGTCTTTATAACCCTAGAGAAATTTATATCTATGTTTCATGTAAAATATTCCATACTTCCAATTTATATGTCCTTACAGAGGAAGTTGGTCTAACCCCCAAAGCCACAAGAAAAAATGAACCCTGTGGGTTTCTTTTCTCTGGGTTTTAGTCCCCCAGTGATGGATTACAGATGTCTTGGCCTCAGAAGTTAAATGATGGGGTTGAGAAAATTCCTTTGTTTCTAATACCTCATATTTGAGAATATTACTGTATTCGAGGCAATAGTGTGGAATTTCTCTTTTTTAGAAGAAATTGGAACCACTTACTGTGAATTCCTGTGTGTAGTCTCTATAGGTAGCAGATTAAATAATAGTTCACTTGGTATTTCTCCTGCTCATTTCTTATCTCCTATAACTGCTATAGTTGCTAAATTACAAATAATATAAATAGGAAAGTATATTTGGAGAAAAAAGGCAAGAAGTGTTGGCAGTCACTTGACGTTTTGCCAAAAATTGCTTTATGATTTAGTTGATATACAACCACATTCTAACCATTATTCTTCAACAAATAAAAACAGAGCAAAGCACTACCACACAAATTGATTAAAATGTCACAAATAGTTGAACATAAAGTTGGCGTCAGTGAGAAATTATTAAAATTATTTAGGTTTTCAAAATTACAATGTAAAAACTAGTTTCCTGAACAAAAATCTGCCAAAACAGCACAGATAATTTTTTTTTCTCAGATCGCCAATACAATGCGAATTGATTCTTTTTAATTGAATGCCTTTCTCTTAAAGCTTCCTTTGAAAGAAATTTTAGCTGTAGTAAGTACAGAAGAGTGGTGCTAGAAATGTACTTGTCGCACTGGTCAATACAATGGAGAACTCAAGAGAGTCAAAGGATATTTGTGTATTTTACTTGTCTCACAAATGTACAAAGGTACTGATTCCAATAACAGAAATTTTGTTAAAGCATTAGATGTTCCCACCCTTAGAATACAATTTATCACATTTTTATCACAAATACAAAAGGTAGTGGTTTCTTAACCATTCCTTTGTTTACCGATCCTAATAGGCATGTTAGTACAGACAATGGGAGGTGCAGTACTAGGTGAATTTATAGTGGCTGGTAATAAAGATGAGAAAGATACAGTTTTGCAGGGAGTTAATATGGATGAGCAAGCTAATAAATATACATCCAATATACATGCATGAAAATATATAGAGCAGAAATGGAAACCCTTTCTTGCCACAACTACAACAGACTCCAAGGTTATAATGAATGAAATAAAACAATGCTTTCCTTGACAGACTAAGAATCAATTCACATGGCCTTTGGTGTCATGTTGCACAAGAGTCTGGAGCTGGCACAGACGGTGAAGAGAACATTTAGATTCTAGACTTAGGTCTGCCACTAACAGTCTGATAAGCACAGAGTGAATTACTAAACCTTTCTAGAACTCAGTTTCCTAAGGGTGTAAAAAGAAAAGGTTAGAGAAGACAGTCTGCACAGCACCTATCAACTTGAAAATTATTTAAACTAAGTTAGTGTTCCTGATACACTGAGACTAGAGAAATAAAATATCAGAGGAAAATGTATTTCCCCTTGAGAAGATAAATGTAAAGAAAAGCAAAAGACTATGCTGATGGACAGTGACTGTGAAGGGGTATGTGGGGGGGACTTGGTGAAGGGAGGAGCCTAGTAAACATAATGTCTTTCATGTAATTATAGATTAATGATACCAAAATAAAATAATAAGTAAATAAATAAAGAAAAAAAAAGAAAAGAAAAAGAGAAGGAAATGTTTAGACCATATCAATCATTTACAGATACCAGTAACTTTACTAAACATTGACAGATAAAACAGATTTCATAAGGGCAAGCCTTACAAGGGAGACATTTTCAAAGCATTATGTCATAGCTATGCATCAGATACTATTAAAATCCTCAAAAATTAAACCCTTGTGTAATACTTTTACATTATCTTTCTAAGAGATTCTGGAAGAACTGTACAAGTAATAAAATAACTATACACATAATTTCCTTTAGTTTATCTTAGAAGTACATTTGTATTAGATGTATATTTGTATGTACAATGACTACTATATATCTAATTTTTTAAATTAATGATTTATTTAAATAATTAGGCAGAGAATTACCTTCTATAGGCTCTTTAGAAAACACCAAATTCCTTGATTCAAATATGCATCCTTAATTAAAACAATTTTCCATTCCAAAGTAATATGCAATACTTAAGAATAGGGATTCTTTTTGAGGTCTTTATTTTTTTCAACAATGAAAAATGAGTTGTATTTACCTTAATGCAAAATATATCAGTGAACATAATGTTTATTAGTCACTTAGGACATACAGGGAAAAGAAAGCCTGGCATTTGGTCTTTTGAACCAAGAAACCAATTCTATAGATACCTCAGATTTATAAAACAAACTTTAAATAAAAAAACTCTTCAGATCTTGAACTAAAAATTAAGGTCTTTATCTATTTCATGTAACTATTTTAAAACTACACTGAGTTCATGGCAAGAAAATTGCTTAATGATTATTTTCACAAGGTATTCATCAGTAATAATATCAAAAAATAATGTCACAGAAAGGAAACAAAGACAAAACCCTTCTCCCTGCCTACTCCCACAGTGGAACCACACAAGAGAGCTTAGGTTTCTGTTCATTTAGTCTCACTTCTAACACCTGTCCTTTTCATGCTATCATCTTCTTAATAAGAGATATGGCTTTTACAAAAGGCATGGTCATGACTATTAATGTGATACACAGAACATGCTATTTCATAAAGAAGTATTTAATAAAACAAAAGGATGAAAATGGTTCATGGGTAATTAGGAGGAGCAATGATAGAATTAAAGCAAAATATTTCATTATTATAAAACTTGTGGCTTATTTAGCATGCAACTACTTAGTACACAATATATAATTGGAGTATGACCATAATATAGTCATTATGCATTACAAAAATTAATAAAATTACATTAATTAGTTAAACATAACTATTTTAATCCTATTTAAATTACACTGCACATCCTAAATTGCTTTGTCTTAAGCTTAATTGAATATTCAACCTAATTTTTCCTCTTGTTTCTTAGATGTTTTTTTTTCAAAATTATAATATTGAATTATAATTTCATTATTACAGGACTATGTTTATACTGGATCTCTGCAATATTACTGAGAAGAAATAAAGAGAAAAAATGAAGTCAACATTATTTAATAGCATATAATCATTCACATTTTAGAAACTCAGTGCTTTATGGAAAGTAGTCATCCAGCATGTGAATGCACTCTTTCTCCACACTGTATGTACTGTGCACCCACACAGCTAAAGCACATCCAGAAATTCTTCTGTTTTGCTGATTTCTGGCTTCTTAAGTGAAAATTAAGATAAAAATCAGAACAATGACAACTACATTATCCAAAATAGCAAGTAGGAAACAGAGAGACTCCAGAGAATGACGTTGGTTCCCTACCTTGGCAGAGGGTCCCCAAATCCACACAGCTGGCTAGTTCTGCTACTTGGAGTGGGATCAGGTAGGATCCTTGATCAACACAGAGAGATTGTACAAGTTTGATTTATGATTTAATATTACCCAGAAAAAAAAAAATCATGCACCACATGGTTAGTTGTAAAAGGAGGAATCCTAGAAATGTTCATCAGTAATTCTCCAACATCAAGAGAGTCTTTTAAGGGCTTTGTATCTTAATTTCTGCAAATATAAAACTGATCATTGAAATTTCCCTCCAAATCTTTTAATTTATTGGCCTTCTACGCATGAAAGGAATAGTGTTTCTTCTTCAAGTCTGTGTGAAATGTTTAGGGCCTTTTCACATAATAAATTATGAAGCTCTGGTGGAAAGTCATACAAATGAAGTAACGTTAACAGTAAAAATATGTTTAAAAAGTGAATATGGATATTATTAATAATACTTGTAAAATGTGTATTTTTGGTTCATAGGCACTAGTATATGACATTTGCAATTCCAGAAACATGTTTCTGTGACTTCAAGTTGGTCTTTGTGTTTTTTTATTTCAATATTTTACTGACTCATCCTCAGCAGGAAACCACTTTTGAGCAGATTTTCGAGTAGTAGTAGTGGATTTTCACTGATGTACTAAATCTCCCTCTGACAATTAACAGATTTTTACAGACAGGTTGAGGGTTGAGAAGATAAACTAAACTTACTGCAAAGCATACTGCACTATAAGTAAAGACAGAATGATAAATATAAATATTTTTATGTACATATACACACACAAATACATATATTCAATTTTAAGAGGACACTTCTGTAATAGTGATTCCATTCTAACGTTTAAACATGTTCTAAACTTTCTGTGGGAATCGTGCATGAAGGCGGAGCATCCCATAGCATAATAAAAGGTGTCTAGTTAGGTACATAGCATACATAAGCAGAAAGCATCCCAACGGTCTAACAGCATCTCAGGCATCATGGTTTCTTTCTTAACTGCCTCAGGCACCTGCCCAGTGAAGGAATCATGTTACCTCAGAATGATGCAACTCCACAGGTACGTCTGTGAAGTCGACTGGCAAGAAGCCCTCATCACAGACCTTTACATGTTCAAACAAACATGTACTAAGTGTTGACAGTGTGTGAAGCACATAGGCTAGACTAACGCTTTAAGACAATGTCGCTGCTCTCAGAGAGGCATGAATACTCTGGAAATCACAGTTCTTTGAATGCTGCAAGTGAAGTGTTTAGCAGCCCAAAGGAGGAGGTGACCAGCAGCTTCATGAAAAGAGTGAACAGGAAATCCACTGCAAAGGAGACCTGTGAGGAGCAGGAGGTGCCTCTACGATGGAGGGGTAAGAGACTGGAGATGGTATTAGTACCACACAGAATTACAGAAACACATACCAAGAAGACAGTGAAAAATCTGGGGGTCCAGGTGATACGGCATTAATGGCTAAGGTATTTGTAAAAAGCTGGTAGGAATGATCAGACATATAGGTCATTGATAGCTTGTGGAGGCTTGTAGAATGTAGGTACCATGCGTGCTGAGACCCTGTGTCTTTCTTCCAATGATGTAGGATCATCACCCACAGTGGGTAGGTACTCAGGCTTTACTGAATAAATTACTGAAGAACTGCTAACATTTTTAACTCTTAATGGAAATGGGAAAAATTAAAAGGGAATGAGGTGAGAAAATTAGATTTAAGTTTGAACATACTTTTGAGGCTCTACAACCAATTAAAAGACAGGAGAGGAGATTAATATAAACATAAATAATACTAATAATTCACACTTGATATTGTGAGTACAATGAGGATGGGCAGAAAGAGATGGATACAAGACATCTGAAGATAGAATATACAGGATTAAGTAACTAATTGGAGAACAAGGAAAGAAAGGGAAGAACCATGCGTGCTGAGACCCTGTGTCTTTCTTCCAATGATGTAGGATCATCACCCACAGTGGGTAGGTACTCAGGCTTTACTGAATAAATTACTGAAGAACTGCTAACATTTTTAACTCTTAATGGAAATGGGAAAAATTAAAAGGGAATGAGGTGAGAAAATTAGATTTAAGTTTGAACATACTTTTGAGGCTCTACAACCAATTAAAAGACAGGAGAGGAGATTAATATAAACATAAATAATACTAATAATTCACACTTGATATTGTGAGTACAATGAGGATGGGCAGAAAGAGATGGATACAAGACATCTGAAGATAGAATATACAGGATTAAGTAACTAATTGGAGAACAAGGAAAGAAAGGGAAGAATAGGGGACATTTTTCTGGTTCCCAATTTGAGAAAGTGGTACATAATGAGCTCCTAAAAGGAGAGAGGAAATACTATTGAAGTATGCAAACTTAGGTGGGGCGGGATGAACAAATCCAGTAACAGGAACGGAGGTACGTATGTGACATGTATGTGCACATTTTTGTAAGAGGTCTAGCCAGAAAATCCATCACAGAACCTATGGGTGTATCTGGGATCACTCAAACTAGAGTGCAGATTTGATGGAAACATAAGACATTCCTGTATTTGAGCACTGGATTTAAAAAAAAAAAAACAGCTACAGATTTGAGAGGTTAAGAATAGCTCTCTAAGGTGGTTTTACAGACTCCAAGTGAAGAAAGTTTCATGGAGGGTGTGGCCATATCCAGCATACCCAGAAGGTCAATAATGATAAAACTGAGACCTTTAACTTTCCACTGGAATTTTGGTGGTAACCCCACAGAAACTTGCTTCAGTAGCGTGGGAACGATGAATTCTAGACTGCTAACGTGTGACAGAGAAGTGAATGCAAAAAGAGGAAGCTTGGCTGTGAAAGGAAGTAGAGATAGGGAGAGTGAGCCTTAAAGATTGAAAACTTAGACAAGTGTACAATGGAAAAAGAGCATTTGAGGAGGCAGAAGCTGAGGCCAGCTGCAGACAGTTCTGAGGGGGGATTTTATCTGGGATGTTTTCTGCTCATTACTCTGTTTCATCACATGTAACTTATGTCCCCTTCCTGCAGGACCTTACTTCTTTAGGTACTTCTGTTTACTAAGGAACCTCTGAAAACTAAAAAGCCTTTAAAACTCAAACTGACTGAGGAAATCTCAGCCACTGTAACATGCAAGAGAGGAGACCCTGGGATGGAGTTCCTGTGCTTCTCAAATTACACACAGTGTTGGCAGCCAAAGGCTCCTTAGGCCACTTCTGGCACTGATATAGTATCTCTGGAAGACAAAGAGAGATAAGGGCACAGTGTGTGGGAAAGAAGTTTAGGCTAACTACATTTCCACTGCAGCATATTCAAGAGCTTAAAGGTGGAAACAAGGAAATCAGAAGGGTTATGATTTAGAGTAAGATACTTAATGATTTTAACATTACATCGGTTTCACTGTATGCTAACAGGTATAAATTTCAGTATGTGACATCCTGGTCATAAGAAATTGTAGCATTTACTTAATATTTCAATGATCAGTTGTTCCTTTATACCAGTTGGGTACTTTAAGTTTAGCAAACTGACATCACTTTATAAAACTTAATACACGCTATTTTATGATAATTCAATATAGCAATAGAACTTAAATTTGAAGATAGTTTTAGTGAAAATGGTGTAAATACAAGAGACAAATTTAATTAGTAGGAAATCATGTTGATAAATGAAGTCTGACATTGTGAATACACCAAATTACATAAACATAATACATGAAGTATAAAAAGTATATATAAACTTTTTACTTCTACCCAGTTCCATTTTTAGGATATGTACATAAAAAATTCACTCTCGTGATCAATTTTCCTTTGGTGGACAGATTTACAATCAAGAAGACCATAAAGGAAGAAGAGACGGTTCTCTCTCCTGGATAATGACATTCTTATCATCAAGAATTTGTTTTCAGAATGTGACCTGTGTGTGTTCACTGGTTTTTTTGAGTACCACAATGGTGTCTACAAGTATTTACTTCATATTAGCTGCAAAATCAAGAACCACATTTCCTTGAAAAAAATGTAGTCACTGAAAATAGACAGTTGCTGAAAAGCTGAAAAGCTGTTAATCTTTCTTCTCTATCGGTTCCTCTTCCAAAATCTTGCTACTAAAAGGGATCACTATTTTCACAAGTTGTGGCAAAAAAGATTGACATGTGGCCAACAATTCACCTCATGCCCTAAGGAAAAATCCAGATAATAATAGCACCAATCCTCACAGAGTTTCAATAATGGGAAAATGAATACAAGTTCCTTTTAATTCCCTCTCTGCAGTTGTTACTAAACTGAATTTTATAATTTTTCATAAATAAATATGTTTCAAGTAGATTACTTCTGGAAGCCACTTTAGCTTTTAAAGAGTTTGAGCATCTTCAAAGAATAAAGACCTTTGTAAAGAAAACAGGATTTTATCTTTATCATTTAAAAAATAATTTGGTGATCTAACAATGCTACACAATAATTTATGAGGGATGAAAGGAAGGCGCCTATAGTGAGTCAGAGTTTTATGGCTGTTAAGGGCAGAACTGTAACAATTGAAAATGAAAAGGTAGGAATCTAGGAGATGATGAAGCCTTGGTGATTAAGTACAGAATTCTGGAGATGAAAACAGAAGTCGGTCCAAACCCAAAAATTTCTAGAAAAGAATAACAACAAAGTTGGATACTTATGAATTATGTCTTATCTCTACACCCACAGTGGCTAATAAATGGAAGTGCTTAATAAATGCTTGTTAAGTAAATATAATTTGTTTGAACTTAGACTATTCATTGAATTATACTGTACCACTCCTCAGGAAAGAGCAGTCATCAGTAAAATAAATAAAACTGGTGTAGAAGGTACTGTCTGTTCTTTGTGAAAACTGATGGACATTACTATATCTAAACTTGAATCATAACACACGCAAATACTTGCACTCATAATTAAGGAATCCACTAGGAAAATTATCTATCCGTGGAGGTCATAAAACTGAATGTTTAATAAAATTGTTCTAAGATAAAGAATGACGCCACAAAATGAAAAAGAATTGCTCCCAAATAAAGCATTTCTGTCTGAAAAGGAATGACAAGATTAACCATATTTTAACAAAACATGCTGAAAATTTCTTTATGTATATTCCCTAACTATGCTTAGAGTAGTATAGCAAAATAAAAAAGCCCAATTCTGAAATTGTTGAGATACTTCTTAGTAATATATTGACTTTATTAAGGCTAGGATATTTAATATTTGAATGAAATGACAGAAATTTTAATGTTAAAATGTAGTCAGTTCTGTTCTACTATCTTATTTTCATATTAAAATTTACTTAGCAATAAATCTTCAGGAAAATCTATTCATTTTCTATGACAAGTTGCTTCTGGAATAACAGCTCCGACTTAACAGACATTCTCAGTCCTTTGGAATGTCAGGCATGAGATTCAATTTTCTCATTGGTTACTGTACTGATCATTAGTTTTTGGAAATTACTATTACCACCAACAGTAAGCCAAAATGTTCCAGAAAAAAAGAAAAGGTTAAAATGTTAATGGAGCAAACTTTTTTTTTTCATTTATTGAAGTTTTGCTTTGCTAACAAGCTTAGATAAAATCTCTGTCACAGGTATTTCCCGTCAGTTAATAAGTGTCTTGGGCTCTTCAACTCCCAAAGCTGATGATTAAGCAGCAGGAAACTCCCTCTCCTGTTATGACTCCTGAAACTCAGTCCAGGACATCTGGCTCTACGAAATGGGGGTGTGTAGTGTCATCTTGGTATGTCAAGATCACTATACAAATCAAGGGCATTCAAATACACTTGGTAAGCTTGTGCTCCTTTGAATGAAATCATTTTGAAAACTTGGAGATGACTAAGGTACATGAGCACATCCTGGATGTATTCCAATCATCTTAAAGCCTGGGAAAGGAGTTAGAGAGACAGTGTTAAAGGACTCCCAGATACCAGCCCTGGGCACGGGGACAGAGCACGTGCATGTTGTTAGCCCACCAACTGCCTTGGCCACTTATTTTTTCCAGTCTTTGGCTTTTTGCCCTGTACAGAGTGAAGGGAGTAGCCTAAATTAGGATTCCCTAGTATAAATAACCGATGGGGGCCAGAAGGCAATGTAAGCACAGCATAGGGGCTGGGGCTGGGATGAGAAGACTATGGAGAGACAGAAGGGTTGAAAGCCCCTTCCTATGGAGCCCACCACCTAGCTCTAACTGTGCTGGTTACGTAGAAATACTAGCCTAATGTTGGGTTTTGTTTGCTAGAGAATCCAAAAATGCATTTTAATGTTGGAAATAAATCATCATTTAAAAGAATTGTGTGGAACAAATCTAAATAAATGAAAACAAATAAATGTTGCTACCACCACCCAGGTCTAAGGGCTAATTTATCCTCTGAGTGGTTGGAAATTTAGCAGGTCTTTTCTGGTGTTGTCCAAAGTGTGAGCTTCAGAAAGTTGGACCTTTGTGATTCTTTGGACTTGTTTTGCGAGGGGGCGAATTTTCTCTTAAGGGGTCAGACAGCAAGTGTTTTAGGATAGTGGGCCACGTTGTCGCTCACAATATGTCAGCTCTGCCACTGCAGCACAGAGGCAGCCACAGGCAATCCAAAAACTCCTGGGAACGTTTGTGTTCCAGTAGAAATTTACTTACAAAAACATGTGGCCTGCCATGGGCCCTCCTCGTTTGCCAAGCCCTGGTCTGGAGGGTTTCTTAGAGAAGTTTAGGAATCCATGTATATTGTGTCCCTCACATTTTATCAAATTAATGATCCAAGAAGCACTGCAGGAAATAAAGCTTATTAACTTTGCTTAAAACAAATACCATGCCTAAACCTGGGAAAGCTAGGTTAAACCCACAGAAAGTACTGCTGATCAGGAGAGATGTCTCCTGGAGCTACATACTCCTCATCTGGACAAGAATTAGCTTACCCAATCTCATCTTCTAGCCCTGCTTATTCAGAAACACCGTCTGACTTACACTGGTTAAGAGAACACAGCTCTAAAACCAAACTTCCTGAGTTCAGCTCCTGGCTTGGCCACTTACTAAGGTGACACTGGTAAGTTCCTTACCCTCTCTGTGTTTCAGACTTCTCAACTGCCGAACAGGGTTAAGAAAATCTCACATCACGGGACTATGTTGTGAGAAATGAGTTATGTGTAAAGTGCTTAGAACATAATATGTATTCCATTTCAGTATAACTCAAGTATTAGTATGTATTAATATACCTAGCCAAATTCTTTTTTTCCTTGTTTGTTCTTGGTTGTCATTGTCCTACACTGCCCCATAGGAAGACAAATATTATATGGTCTATATTTGACTTTTAAAAAATGGCCATGGATATGGTGGAAACAGGCCCCGGACTACAGGTAATTCTCATGGATGTAAGAAGCACACCAGTGCCCTCCCGTCACCACTCACCACCCCACACCGCACACATGCACTTCACCTTCTCCCTCCCTCGCTGACTGAAAGCCCTCTCCAGTCTCTGAAGGCTCTGTAGCTAATCCTGAGAGGACCCTGGGAATACCATCAGCTCTTACAAAGTTCCACAGTCTCCTGGTTCCTCTTTCCAACAGCCCACAAGGAAATGCCTCTCCAGTGACATCACTTGACAGCCTCTCACCCTCTGCAGGAGCACCATGGACCACACAGAGGGGTAGGTGACCAGAGCACCCCAGGCAAGAAGGGCAAACCCAGGTCAGGGAAACTGGGGAGGTGGCCTCAGGTCTTTACAACAGGGCCTACTGTGCTCAAAATACTGGGAATGAATTTCCGATAAGAATCCCCTTCAAACTCACAAACAAATTACTTTTTAATATTAGGTCCCTTTTCCCCTCCTTTAATGAGTTTTCTCTGTGACTAAAAAGTGCTTGTCACCAACACCTTAGATTTAGTCATATGACATTCAAAAATGATAATCAAACTTCTACTTTTTTAGTTGAATCTGTCCTGTAGTTCCAAAATTAACTTATATGCATAGAGAATATTTGATGGAAGTCTATTTAACATAATTTTGTTACACAGCATTAGTTCCCTAAGTATTTCTCCATATAGCTACTACCAGTAATATCACATTTAAAGTCTCTCAAAGAGCAACCAAAAAAACCGATGAGTATTTGAAACAAACAACAAAGGATCATCTTCAAACAGAGAAAAAAAAGTTCAAAGAAAAAAACTGATAATTCTGGATTATCTAAGATTTTCCATAAAATGGACAGTTTTGATATTTAATGACAGCTGAGTAAATACCTCTCTTTTAGGTGCTGATTGTTTATTTAAATGATTTAATGGAAATTTCATTCCAGGATGACAAAGGTCAACTTTTTCTGTATCACCTTAGTAACTAAAAACAGTAACTTATTGATTTCTTTTGTTTTATTTCTTGGTGTTAACATTTCCACTTGAGACACTGTAACTGTTGTTATGCTGGTGATAAACTGTATGATACTTTATAACATGGAAAATTTTTAAATGGTAGGACCAAAAACTCTGAATGAATAAGCATAGCTTGTAATCAAATGTATACTATGGATGGCAGAGCATGTATCGTTTTAAAAATTAAAAGAGCTCATTAATGACAACTATATACAAGCACACACACACATATATACTTACATACATACATATGCATATACATACACACATATACATATGTGTGTTATAATTTCTTGTTGACTAACATATTCATAGAACAATGCTAAAAAAAAAACCAAAACAGTGAATATGCCAGAGACTTACCACAGCTTAGGTTGTTTTCAGCTTTCAGAGCTAGAGTTGGGATATTCCAAAAGTCATTTTGCCAGTCGATCACATTCCCTTTCACATTACAGCTGAGGTTGGAGAGGATTTTGGAATTCATGGTAAAATTCCAAAGTCGGAAGTTATAAATGTCCCCTTTTATAGAGGCAACTTCATTTTGACTGGAGCCTAACACCAATTTCCCACTCCCAGGAATAACTTTACCAATGGTAGAATCGCAGGGGACTGCTTCATAGTTTCTTTTGAAATTCACGCCAACAGAACCCACAGTATTATTCCAAAGGATGCACAGCTGCTCGAAGTTTTCTATGAAAATGTCTTCTTTATCTTTTACAGGTAACACGCTGTTTAGTAAGCATTTTGAGCCAGAAATAGATATGAAGTAGCCACCCTTGGACTTGCCAAAACTGAGCAGTTGTGTGAAGGATGCATCTGAGTAGGTGAAAGCTATCCATTCACTGTCTTCCTTGCCAACTTTGGTTGCTTCAAAACAGAGCGTGAAAGCACTGAGCTGCGGAATAGAGACACTTTTTGCAACAGACACCTGGTAAACATCAAGTGCCTGGGGTAAAATGACCTTTTGATTCCTTAAGGACACAGCAACTAGGACAAAACATAATAACAGATAAACACATTAACTTCAGATATGGGTTAATGAGATGCAAAACAGCTGACAGACTCAGCTCTCCCACCGCTACCCTACTGACTGACTTCTGTCCACCACTCTCCTCTTTCTCATGCATCTACCCTCTACCACCAACCTACCACCTTCTACCAAGAATAATAGTAATAAGTAACACCACTCACTTTAACCCTAAGCATGGTTTGCTCTCACACCTAAACCTTTGTATTACAGCCAACCAACTTGCTAAGTATTTTTTTAAACATCCCCTTAAACACCCTAATTAAGGAAACTACTGATTTCAGGAAAGTTCTGTTTACACATTAAGATTTTCAAAACTATGCTATTTTTCAAATAAATTCTAAACATAGTAGCACGTTCTATTTTTCATTAACAATGGCCATTCACTCTTCCCATACATTCCTATGCTATCCTCTCCCCTTCAGACACCCTTTATCTTACTCAGTTTTCCATCAACCAGGCTATTTCAGGGACAAAGACAAAAACAAGTTCATTGAGGAAAAGAATCCAGTCAAAACAAAAACAAAAACAAAAATGAAAATTTAAGTTTGGGCATTTGAGCTACTTTATTAGGGATGGTAAGAAGCAGTGGTTAAAAGGGCAGACAACGGAGCTCCCTATCCCAGCTCTTCCACACAGAGTGCTATGACCTTGGACATGTTCTTCACCTCTCCCTAGCTTAGTCTGCTCCTCTGTAAAACTAAGGAGAATGGCACCTACTCTGCAGGTGGTCAGAAGGAATGAAATAAGTTAATACCTGCGAAGCGCTAAAGCAGTACCAGCCATAGTCAACACAGAGGCTAGGACTGATTACTAATACAGGTACAACTAGTATTATATGCATAACAAATTCAAAATAAAAATACATTAGCCTAGTCCTCTGTGACATATATAAAACTGTTAAATAATACCATGGATTTAGCCCAATGCCAATATACTAGACATCATGAAATATTATGTACTGATTTGAGAGGGAAGTAACTCTCCTAAAAAATACTGTTTAATACTGGATTCATATGAATGCTAGCTTGAATGTATTTTAATATACACTAAGAATAGATCTGTGGTAAAAACATCATTTTGATATAAATATTCCAGTTAAAAATCCATGATGAAATACAATCATGGGTTTTAGTCTACTTCTTAAAATATAACATAGTTTATAGGTCTATTTACCCAAAGGGATATGCAACATGAACCCAGTATTCTATATATGTTGTTAAAGTAAAAAGGCTGGAAGGAAATACATCCATCAAGACTGTATTAGTGGTTATAGCTGGGTGGTAGATAAATAGGTATTTCTAATTTCTGTCTTTCTTCTTTTCAAATATTCTATAATGTTTTATAATTTTTAAAGCATTATTTGAAAGATTAAAGTATGTGTGTTTCAATTGACCACATATGTATCTAATGTCAACCACCAATAGTAAATAACTCTGCCATCAAAAACACATTTTATAATAATGAGGGTCAGTCATTTTCATAGTGGTTTCTTTTGGTGATATGTGACACCTACTTAAGAAGCTCAGGAGAAAAAGTATATGTAACTAAATCTCAAAATCTTGAAGCCTGAATTCTGCAAAGACAGATTTTAGAGAGAATGAAATTATTCAAATACTATGATATTCCAGAATCTGGGAAATATATCTGATAAAAATATACTTTATTTCCTTCAATTAACCATTTTCAAGGGGCTTTACTCATGCAGTGTTGTTTATTAGCTTAGGTTATAAATAGCTTTATTTTAATTTATACGATAATTTTCTACATTTGTCCCCTAGCATAGTTCCTTAAAAGGGCAACATCTTAAAAGCCTAAAATAAATAGGAATGTTTTAAATGTCCAGTGAACAGATATTAGAATTACAGGATTTAATTAGCTATGGGATATCTATAGAACTGTGGAATAAGCAGCCTTTAAATGTTCTGCATATAAACAATATTATGGAATTCAGCTCTACTGTAACTAGATTTTAGATTGGTAAGCATATATTGCTAATGAAAATGCTCAGAGAATATTAACAGATTCTAGCCCTTCATTCTAATCCTAATCATTCACAGTCACATACAAGAGCATAACTTGGTCTTCTGGTCCTTGTGTTTATTGCAGAACATGTTAAATGAAAGCAGAAGGTTGGCACCGCCTTTGGTTTACATACCTCTGATGTAGCTGGCATTGAAGCCCTTCTTCTGGATGCTAAAATCACTGGAAAAGGACACATGCATCTCATTCGCACTTGAGTTAAATGATAGGCCTTTGGCAGTTGCTCCACAAAATTTTGTCTGGCTCTCTCCATTATCAAGGGATAATGAGTCATAAATGCAATTGGGAGCTTCTTCAATGTCGAAGTCATTAAATGTTATCTGAATGATGTAGCCGGTGGGGGCTCGGAGCGTCCACATGCAAGCCTGGCTGTTAGGGTAGTCATTAGGGTAGCACGGAGAAGTAAACGTTCCGGAAGGGCTGGACAGGACGACCCTGCAGTGGGCACATCCCAACACTGTTGGCCAGACAAGAGAGAGACAGAAAGAAGGGCTGGGTCAGAGGCACACAACAAACCAAAAATACCACATGCTGGGGACAAACAGTAAACATTTAAAAAGACCAAAATATAATCATGAAAATTAGACGGAAAATGAAACCATCTCAAGGAGAAAAAGGAAAAAACACTAAAGGAACATGAAAAATAAAACAAAAATACAAAATTTTAACACAGGATTCTTAAATTTGGCAGGTCATATACTCTAAGAATTGGATGAAAGTTGTGTAAATGCTCTCCAGTAAAATGCACAGGGGCCGAGGTGCACAACTGTAGGACATACCTGAGATCTCAGAAAGCAACAACTATTTCACAGTTTCACTGACCTGGGGTAAGAATCACTACTTTAGAGAGTAACTGAACTGGGACAAGGGGCTATAGAACCATAAAGGTAGAACTCAATATTACAAACCATGGATATAAAGGAAGAGAAACAATTAGAAAATAATTTTTAAAGAGAAAGCTATCAAAATAAAAAAAATAAACAAGATGTCTTCTAAAAGATTACATTTTTTCTAAAATTCAAATAAACAACATCATCTTGCATGTGTGGAATATTCATAGTTTTGAAAACACTTTCAGTCATCTTATTTGTTTACTACTGTTTGTAATCATACAGTTGTGTGATTATCTCATTTATTGATTCATTCAGTGAATATTTATTGAATGCCTGGCATATAGCAGGCACTATTCTAAATAGTTAGTATATACCAATGAGTAGGAAAGACAAAGTATCTGAATGATTCTTACCCTTCAGTTTTGGACTCAAAGATAAACAGATAATAATATACTGTAATGGCAGATAGTAAGAGGTAGGAAGAAAAGTAAAGCAATCAATTATTTCTCAATTATTGCTTATCTAGGGCCTGATCAGCAGCTGGAATTAGAAACCAGGGTCAACTATCTTTTTATTTTGGGATGCTTTTACAATTAATATTCATGTTACTTTTAAATATTTGTATAAACACAGGCAGCACTCTCACTTATCCAACACTCTGGATAAGTAAAGTATGATAATACTGACCTACACTTTCAAACAAAATATTTAAACTATGTTAACAGAAACCACTCTAAATTTGTGTTCCTTCCTCTTACTGAGTTGAGAAGAATGAATATGCAATAACTTTCTTGAAAATGGTAGTTGCTACAAACATCACTTATTCTTCTATGCTACAGTGATACACTCAAGGACTTATTAGATATATTACACTCAAGTTAAGTTTTTCTTTTTTCTTTTCCCTGGGGCCACCTTGTGTTAGGCACTGTTTGCCTTGCCAATCCTGCTCCCCTCCATTCTTTCTAACTTGCCTCTTCTCTGTTCTTCCTTCCGAAGTATCCAACATCTTGCACAGGGTTGAAGATAGACAGGGAAAATCAATTTATGATCAAGTGGTAGCCAAATGCCTTCTCTTATCCATCCCTGGAGCACCATGTTCCTCTGAATAGGTCCTTTGCACTATTCAGAGCAGCTGTGACTTTCGTTTTTCAGATTATTTGCTTATTGGCTATTTCTCTCCCTCTTCTCTAAACTCAACAAGCACAGGATACATAGTCATATTCACCATCTTACTCCTTAGGACCTCACCAGCAATTATGGCACATGGTAGACCTTCCATAAAATTTTGTTAAATTTATCAGCAAATAAACAAATAGTTCTAAGTGAATGGAAACATGTCTAGATTAAAGAATGACTAAGGATGGATTATCAAACTAAGCCAAAAAAAAGTCTAAATGAAAGAAGAGTGCATGATCTCTGGAATATCTCTTTAGATGGAGTTTTGGGCTTTTTCTTCCAATGATTCCACTCATAGCAAAGGATTGATATGACCAGGCCTCTCTGACACATTTAGCTTCCTGTTACTGTAACATGGGCTCAGGAGAGAGAAGTAATCCTAGCAAATCCACAATAACATATTTATAAAAAGGCACTGAAGATTTAAAAAAAAAGAGAAAAAGAAAAGGAAAAAAATGCAATCTTTATGTCATCCCAACATGCATGCACACAGCATCATTTTCCCAAAATGAGATGCCATCCCCTACATCCAAGACCCAGGCAATGTTCATGACTTCCTTCATCCTGATTATTTTTGCTAAATTCTTCCCTGAAAGAAAGGTCCAGGAACATTCAATATGACTATGTAGTCTTGAACAAGTTCATCTTTCTCTGCCTCAGTTTCACCACCTTACACTGGTGGTAATACAAGCACCCACCACCAAAAGTTATTGGGAGAATTAGATTGGTTACTATGGGAAAATCCTGGGAGCTGTACTGGCCAAATAATTAGTACTTTCCATGCAAGGGCTATTAATATCACTACTATAACACACGAAACCTGTGCATCAATAATGTAAGAGAGAAAAATAGCATCCCACCTTAAAAGAATCTCTTTTTCCATCAGGCACTCACTGAGATAGGAAAGAGAAAGGAAAGGTACCATAATATTCTTTTAAAAAACATTTAAAGCATTCTTCTATGGTTGGCATCCACAACAGCTAGACAGCATTTAGAGACAGTACTACTAAATAGCAATTATATTAATTGCGTAAAACGTCAGTTACAGCTAGACACAATGTTATCATGTGCATTATATCTACAGATCACTTCACATGAAACGTATATTATCATGTTTTTATATATATATATAAAAGGTTGACATGATTAAACAAAATACACAGTAAAGTGGTGAGCTCAAGTACTGTTTTAAGACAAAATGGTTTTTAACAGGTAATTTCTCAACTATAGTGTAGTCACCCTAAAATTAATATATTTTAAGAAACTATGAAATATTTTAGTTACAAATGTTAGAAAGTCTAAAATACATGCTTTGGATTTGCCCATTTAGTGTAATTAAACATGACTGATAATTGTCACTGCTATACAATGCACTAGTTCATAAAGAAATTAATTTGTTCTCTCTCAAAGGCAGGACTACTTAGAAAGACTGGCTACTGAAATAGCCAGAGTGAGGTTTCTGTAAAACCACATCTTCTAAAAGCTAACCACTCAAAACATCTGGCTCAAATTGCTCTCAAACACAGATATAGTAACATACTCACACTTATAATTTATAACATACTCACACTTATAATTAAAAAGTTTTCAGGTTATCTAAACAACAAACCAGATTCCACCCTGACTCTCGCCTGTTTGGGAATGTTTAGCAATAATTTACTCACACATAATTTTCACAAAACTTCATTCTTCAAAGAAACTGAAATCCAAAATAGAAAGTCTTTCAGTTTATCTCAGTTTATAAACAACATTTAGCTACAGATTTAGTAACCATTATCTTCTATTTTCTTTTAATCTCAGAGATTTGGATTCTTACTCCATCCTTGATTCAAGTGCTTCCCAATACATCAAATGCTATGTTCTTGAATATCTAACACAGGAGTATCTTATCCCAAGAGAAAAGTCAGAAGTGTTCAATTTTAGCTGCCTTCCACAAAGATCTATACATCAAAAAAACTGTTTTTTCCTATAGTGGGTTAAGTGGTGAAGAAAAGTGAATGTACCTAAATTAAATATTATTTTTATTGGAATTATGTAAAACTGCTGCTAATGAATTTGTTGGAAAACCTGGCTGGTGAAAATCATTTCCAGAAATTTTGCTTTAGTTCCTGCACAGTTTGCATCTATTCTAAGTCATCATCTGAATTACCTATGTGAATGTATTAAATTCTTATGTGAAAAGTTCATCAGTTACTTAAAAAGGTTTAAAATATTTAAGTGTTTGCTTTGTTCTGAAGAATAAGGGCCAGCAACTGAGAGTTCTAGAAACAGTTGTGATGCCTAAATCATTATGAAGCCAGGACAGCCACACACCATTTCTCCACCTCAAAAGAGGTGCTGTGAGATATAACACTACTGAGATGTCAAGCATAAAAAATACTTCAGATGCTGGAATGTATTGAACGACTAATAATACACAGAACTGAAAGAGTTCATCAAAGCAAGTATTTGTTTAAGTGTTTTAGCCTTCCATGCACGTATTTTTAGGATGGTAAGGAATGTGGAGGCAATATGGCTTTGACATCTGTGTTTCTGTTAATGTGACAGATGCAGCAAGCATCCCTACACTCCCTCACCACCATCCCTCTTCAAGTTCTGCTCTCAAAGAAAGCACTTGAGTGTCCGGGAGCCTCACTCCTGAATTAGGATTACAGTGGTCATTCCAATCTCTGCTAGAACTTCCAGCAGTCAAGCAAGGATATCAGTTTGCTTCCAAACTCCTCCTAAAACACTGGTTTCACTGAAGATAGCCAGAAAATTTTTTGATTTCCCTCTGTGAGGTTTCAACTTCAGAATGTTCTTTGGAAGCACCATGTATATGAAGCTACTGCAATGGCTGACACATGAATTTAAAATGGTACCAGTTCAATTCAATTTGACACAGCTAGAAAACTAACAAGAAGTTGAACTGAGGGTTCCTTGATAAGGCTGCACTAAGTGTGACAATTTTTTGAGCCTCTAAAGAGATTCACATGCACCATACTCTCAAAGCACCATTCCATATGTAGCTGCAAAAGGTAAAAATTTCATTAAGATCCAAACAACTGTTGTAAGTCCTTCTGGAATCAGCTTATTATGTAGGTACATAATCCTCACAAGAGGATTAAACACAAGTACACGTGCCAACATATGCTCATATACCCACAGACATTTTCATGGGAAACTGTTCTCTCTTAAGCAGTGGCTGAGTATTTCTCCAGCTGTTGAAAGAAAAAAGTCTAAACACAATGCATATTTGAAACAACCTAAATCTGCATAGTCTATGACTTTATCTACCTTCTGATTAATACATTCAAGTCTCTTATCCCTTTCCATATTCCTGCATTGCAAATCCCCAACTGTCTATTAACCTGGCCATGGACCTTCTAGCTCTCTCATGCATAGACTTCTGAGCACTACTGAAAAAAACTCACACAATTGCACAGATTATTTACACTAAAGAGGATTC